AAAACAAGACTGGATGAGACCGATTTGGATCCGGATGATGATGATTTAAAAATGTTTGGAGGTTTCCCAGATGATTTCAGATGAAAGGAAAGATCAAGAGATAGTAAAGTATGTCTATAAGATCACAAGAGAGATGAAGTTAGTTCAAGGAGTGGGGTATGTAATATTAGTGCAGGGAATTTTTTGTATCCTCCTTCTCAATTTCTCAAAACAAAAGAAACAAAGAACAGTTGAGCCATTTGATTCAGTCAAACTAGGAAATTAGCGGCGGGAACTGTGGTGTCATATATCCAGCAAAGCTACCTCTATTACTCAATTTGAGATGATTGAGGATAAGGCACACCTATATAGTTTGAATCCATTCACATATGTCCAGGAAAAATGTCCACAATGGTTTCAATACCAATTTCAGAAGCACACATGCATATCTTTGAGTAGAAATATGGATATGACACTCTCAAAGTTTTATCAAAGATCCTAGGCACAGCTGATAAAATACACCAAGCTGAAGGCATGTAGGTGTGGTGTTTCCCTCACTCAACTAAGTCCCTCAATGCTGAGACAGCTGTCATTCAAGCAAGTTGAATCCACATGTCTCAGCATGAGGGACTTACATCCAAACTCAACATTTTGGCTTGAAGGGTAAGGATTCATTCACAGAGGAAATCTTGATTTCCCCATTTCTGTGAGCTCACCGGGGATCTTTTACTGCACTTCATGGGCATATGCGCTTCCAGTTGCTTCAAAATGCACAACTTGATTGATCAAAATTCATTGGTTGCTCACCAAGCCACATATTGTGTTATTTCATCATTTTCACATGTAGCTCACATGTAGCTAGGTGGTTCATGGAAATAAGTCCTTAACTTAGCAGAGCTGCATGTGAGCTGCAGATGAAAATCCCAAGATAGCAACTTATGTAGCTCAGCAAGCAACTGAGGTATCTCAATGATTTCACTTGTACGCTTTGAAAAGGAGATTGGTGCATATCCCCATGAAGTGTGTTAAAAAGATCCCTGGTGAGCTCACAGAAAAGGACAAATCAATCCTTACCCCTCAAGCCAAAAACACAACGTTAGATGTAAGTCCCTCATGCTGAGACATGTGGATTCAACTTGCTTGAATGGCAGCTGTCTGAGCATTGAGGGACTTAGTTAAGCTAGGGTCTTTCCAATAAGTCTGTTGCTTTGATTTCTCATGAATGCAAGTTTTTGATCATTCAAATCCAAATTATTACAATCGTATGATTATATCCTCTGGACCAGATGGCTCTCTTGTGGTCAAATCTGTCTTGTCAGATCAAATGGCCAGAAATATGTACATCAAGATACACATCAAGTAATTGTTGATGGTAACAAAACATCCATGCACGGAACTTGGCAATCAAAAGAAATTGAGGAGCTTGATGAAAATTTTCTTAAAGCCTGCTTTTGCTCCTGATACTTGGCTTTGGCAGTCTGGTCATATCGTAAATTGACTGCCGTATGGTTGATCAGCAGCATACATCTCTGGGAAGCTCTGAATCCTATGGACCACAAAAAACAGAGTTCAATTTTGAATTTGAGGTCAAGAGTTTTGTTATGATGTGCAAGATTGTTTCAATTTTCCTTGATATTGATGACTTCAGCACATCAGATAGGAAAAACACAGGATAAAAAACTATAAGCATCAACTCTTGGATCATATGAATTTTGGTTAAGTGTTTTGAAATTGACTCTAAATTGAAATTCATGAGATTGGAAGATGCTTCTGTACTTAATGATAAGTGATTTTGGATTTGCCATGGTGATCTTGATGGTTGATGAAATGGATCAAATTGATGTAATTAATTTATACAGGTAAAGGTCATTGTGAAGTTGGTCTAGGCTGATCTATGATATCAATATGAATCATCCCGGATATTTTATGAGAATGAGATCACCACAATTGATTTTTAGGCTGTTTGTGTTAAGCTGCAGCCTAAGCCTCAATGGCTCTAAAACAAGTGGAAAATGTATCTCATTGAGATAAAATCTAAGTGAAGCCTTGATATAAGTTTATCACTATTATATTATGAAGTCTCCTCTAACTCATCCAATTTTATTTTCTTGTTTGATACATGTCCGTCTTTTTCCTCTGCTTTGACATCAAGATTAAGATTTGAATGTGAGTTCAATTTGTAGTATGAGAAGTCAACCTGGATCAACTTCAGTTGCAAAGTGGTGATGTTGTGCCTGTATCAAGATTTAAATTCAGGCGTTTTGAGTGACTGTTCAAGTAACTGGAACTGAAAGCCAAATGTAGTGCCCAAGCAATTTTGAGTTTTCCAACTTGGTTGGTATGATGCTTGCTGTCAAAAATAGATGCAAACAACCAAAGGATTTCTGACCAATTATGAATAAAGTCAATATAATTTTCACTTTTGAAATAAATGAATGGCATGCATGTTCAATTTGAAGCTCTGGATGTTGGATTTACAAAGTCAATGATTGTGAGTGAGGTTCAAAGTCCTTTGATGTGTGTGGTTCCACAAATAGGACTGACTGGGGACTTTAGGTGAGTATGGACCATTGCTTCAAATGGAAGTCTTCAAGCAAGGATAAACAGTCAATGCAAGAATGAAAGTTGAAGAGTCTGAAACTGAGCATTGACAGGTTGGCAGCCTGAAGCGAGGAAGCTGGCCTTCCTTTAACTTGAATGATGATGATAATTCAACACCCCAGATTGAAACAGACTATTTTGGGTACAAAAAGGTGATGAAACAATAATGGAGGAGCCAAATGAACAAAGTCTGAGGAAATGTTGCAGCACAGGAAATATATATGGAGTACTGCTATGAGGAGGCTATAACAATGGATTGTAGTGAAATTGGTGCATGTGTTTCTTGTATCAAGCCAAATCAATTAACATCTGCTCCTTTTCTGATTGAACATCATGTCAATCAACTCAAACGCACAAGAGCCTGTAGAATTCCCAAAACAGTTCCCTTTCACTGGGTGTGTGGGCAGTGAGATAACTGCAAAGGTGATTAAAAGCCTATTAAAGGCAAAAATAAGATAATTTTACTCTGTAATCTTTGGTTGTTGATCCCAAAAGAGATCACAATGGCTAAAATCAAGTCAGGTTGTATTGTACTATGATCAGTGGTATATGAAAAAACCAAATCTTGAAAAGCCCCCTGGGGTCCTCAAAACCTTCCCAGCCGCATAATGCACATGAGCCAATGATATGCAATGTTGTTGTTGTGATAAGCTGAAATGGATGCTTGATGAGGACAAAGACCCCGATCCAGGGATAGAGAAAGGCGATTCTGTGATATCAGCCAAGAAGGGGAATTTATGTAGATCAGCTTAATGTGTAAAACTAATGTATGCAGAGTCCAGACCGTACATGTTGATTAAAAATAGCTGGAGAAGGAGGTTGGTGGATGGTCAGTCTCCTCGGCATATGATGATTGTGTTTCCGGAACTCTGCTCACCGTAGAGAGCATGGCAGCAAGGAAGAGGCCAGAATCTGGGGTTAAAATGCAGCTTTGGGTAACTGGAAAGCCAAATGAGGTAACAAGCTACCAAGAGATTGGAATTGGAAAAGAGGCATTTCCTGAGCGGCAACAGAATGGCAATTGACGTGACAAAGCAGCACATTTGGCCCAAGACAAACCCAATGCGCACAAATAGCATCTTCCAAGTGAGGATCAGAACGGTGTCAGCCATTTTTTAAGTGTAGTGGGCAGATAAGTGTGGTGAGATGGTGAGATAAGAAAGGTTTGAGTTTGAGGATTGGAAGGAGATTGAAACAATGAAATGTGAAGGGTTGAGTAATTTTCAATGCATTGTGAGTGGGACAAAAGAATCTGAAACTGACCAAGATTAAATGTATCTCATCAGTGCAAAGCAATGCCCGCTAAGCAGTAGTTGCACAGGCCAGGGAAGCACTTCTGCCATCTTCAGTAGAAATTGAATCATTCAGGGCGCATTCACTTAAGCAATTTCTGGTGAGACATCACATTCTGCAAAATTTAAAGTGTCTATTTGGTGGTGCATGTTTCATTTTTGATTAAAATATTTACAGAATGTGATTGCTGGTCAGAAATTCCTTAAGTGAACGGGCCCTCAGTCAATGTGTCTACATTCTACCATGGGCTGTCTGAGGTGCGGTCTCATCGCGTTAGCTTTCCTCTATAATCCTCAAAGTTTTGACATAGTGGATTTGTTTCACAGCAGCCAGCCATCTAAGGCGCCTGATTAGGACAAACATATATCACTTGATCGTGCTTCAGGAACGCATCATGGCAGCCGTAAGTTAGAGTGGTTTGGTTTTGTGGTGTCTTGAAAGGTCTTTTCATAGTTTTGGGCTTCAGTGATGACGATGATGATGTTTTATGTGTACAAGGTCAAAGGGTATAGATCAAATTTAAGACAAAATAGGAGACGCAGAATTATTCACTTAGTCATATTTGGTGAGAATCTCACGTTGAATATCTGTTCATATATATATTTAGTATATTTTTAGATGTTCAAAATTGACAAACAAGATTTCAGAGAAAGAAGAAATTCAAAAGAAACAAAAAACAACAATCAATAATAGAAAAAGTGCAGTATTGAAGTCATGATTTGATGATCTAGTGATAAATAAATAAATATGTATGTAAACTCCAAGTGTGTTTCATCATGAACAACATACATATCATAAATAGATACCAAAAAAGATCACAATCATAACTAACAACTAAAAAAACCCAAATCAAACCAACCAAACAACGACCAAAGACACAAGAACCTGAGTAAATCGAATTCCCCTACACATACGCGTATGCAGGAGAAAGATAGAGTTCGGTAGAAAAAAAGAGTAAGTGAAAAAAAGCTGTGTGAGAAATTCAACTGTGTGTTACATCAATTCTAGGGTTCCTTCAACGAAAAAAACGTTGCAGAACCGATCTCTCTTCCTCAACGTCCTTGCTTTCATACAATTTGATCCCAGTCAGATTGACGATCTTTCGTTAAATTAAATACTATCTTATATCAAGCAGCAGGGGCAGCAAGACCTTCAGTTTGTGGTTCCTTAACATCATGGAAGTCTATATGCCATCAAGTAAAGTAGTTCAAAGATAACCAAAATTGATCAGCATGTTCAATTGGCGACCCTTCCAAGATACAAATTACATACCTAAGATTTCTGAATACATCATCACTCTCCAGGTGTCTACAGGTAAATCAGCGTCGTTGAAAGACCAATCGAAAGGTTCATCGGCCACCGGTTCGTCCGTTGGATCATGGTATGGAGCTAAGTATTCATTGCCGAGTGCTTCGGCGGCAGTGATACGTTTGACAGGATCGAAGACAAGCATACGTTCTAGTAAGTCGAGTGCTAGAGGGTCTGCGTTCTTGAATTTCAAATGAAATGGGATCCTTTCCCTTTTGGGAAGAGATTGAACAAATCGGAGAGTCTGTAGTAATCAAGTGAAGAGAATGAGGTGACCTATGAGATGAGAGCAATCCAAAGTTATGGATTTGATGTCTAAGCGAGATCGTACATTTTCAGAACAAATCGTTGCGATCACATCATCAGGCGGCGTGCCCAACAATTCAGTGATGATGGAAAACTGGTTGACATCTGAGAAGTTTGAGAAGCGAGCACGATGTTGATCAGCATTGTGCCGGTATCAAGGACTAACATTCGGCGAGAGTAACTGGACTGACGATCTTTTCCAGGAAATAGTGGTTTGCCCTCAAGCATTTCGGCAAAAATGCAACCCGCACTCCAGATGTCCACTGCATGAGGATGAGCCATCATTCAGGGAACGGGTCTCATAGAATGCGAGGCAAAAGCAACTTAGACCGACCTGCCACATCATATTTCTGCCAGGTGAGCATGATCTCAGGAGCTCGATAATACCGTGTAGAGACATAACCCGTCATTTGAGGGTCTTGGAGACGAGCGAGACCAAAATCGCAGATCTTTAGGTCACAATTCTCGTTCACCAAAATGTTGGAGGGTTTCTGCGAAAGATTCAAGATTAGACTCGCTCAGGACATTTGTAGAATGAAAGGTCACGAGGCACATATTTTGATCAACTCACCAAGTCACGATGTACGACACCAGCAGAGTGAACATACTTCAGTCCTCGCTAGATCAGAACAAGCAAAGGATCGCCCAACAGAATCAACATCGAAATCACAACATCTCGTAAGCAAAAGTCACGACATCTCCGATCGGCAAGGAAAAGAAAAACACGTACAAGTATTTGATACAAAAAGTATTGTATAAACTGTTTCTCAAGTGGTCGACTAGTTAAAAGCCTATGAAGATCTGTACCAAGAAGTTCGGTAACAAAGTAAATGTCTTCTAATGGTGAGATGAAAATATCAGAAAGACTGATAATGTTTTCGTGACGTATGTGTTTCAGAAGCTTTAATTCTCGATAGGTCCGCTTGGCAAGGACCGGGCTACAATATAGTTTGGTGGAATGAGGTCAGTTAAGATGTTGCGGCGAAATCACCTCGTTCTTGACTTACGTTGAGAATGGTTTCATGATTTTCTTGATCGCGACATTTGTTGCTGTTAACTGGTCACTTGCTGAGCAAACAAGTCCAAAAGCACCCATTCCAACAGGCTGTAGATCCGAATATCTCGTTGTCACTTCGAATACGGTACCCTGTTTGGTGCGTCCAGAACCAAATCACACGAGCAGAAGTTCAAGGACCGACATCAAGATGTGATTGGACATCGAGTTTCAAACCAAAAGATGGTCCGATATAGACGAGTAAAAGCAAAGACAAAAGGTTCGGTTCAGCAGCCGTATCCCGCCAACAAACGCTTCTGGTGGGGGGGTATGCTTTGGGAGCTTCGATCGGGTAAAGCTAATCTGTTCTTCTCCGACACCATATCACTTGTAGGTGTAGCTTGACTTCACTCTTGTGAGGCGGCATGCTTTCAGAATTTTTCTTGACAGGCGTCGAAAGAGGGCAATGTCTGATGTTCTTGATTGAAATGTTCGAGACGAGAAAAGGAAAAGAGAAAACTCCAATGCTCACGAAGATAGACAGTTTGGCAAAATCCTATCAAAGTACAAGAAGTGAGTATGATGAGATTTGGATGACTTTGGATCACTTGGGTCTTACGGCCATAACGAATCCTGGACCACCTGGAGAGATACTGTTGCCGATCGGGGGCGCGGATCCAGACGGTAAACTTGTGACACCAGCATCCTCGGACATCTGCAGAGTTCAAAGGATTGATAAGATGAGAATGGATTGGAGGTGATAGGGAAAGGAAACCGACGGTTCTCAAAGGATTGATAAAAGGATGAGTTCAATGATAGCAAATGGAGTGTTGAAGTTTACGATGATGATGATGATGATGATGACAGGATAGAACTATGTTGAGATGCTTTAAAGTGGTAATGAGAGTTTGAACTGTGTGGTAGACGGGCTATGGCTCTGTATGGCTTCTTGATGTCATCATCCTCTTGGTACATCTGATATCCGTCTGAAATTTGAATCCACACTGTAAAGGCTCAAGGGTCGGGTATTCTGACGGGCAAGGGTGAATATCGGATCTTGATCAGGGGTTTGAGTTTCTGCAGATGGTGGGCGCGTTTTTTGGAAGGGCAGGCGCGCGCAGGCGCAAAAACTGTCAGCTGGGACGTGCCCTGGCACAAATAGCAGGAGGCGCAGGCGCGCCATTTCAGTAAAAACCCCCCAAGGAAATGACAAAATCCTTTTCAGAAACCAAAATCAAGACTGTTATAGATGCTTGGGCACTTTTTGGGACTTTATAAACTTGTTTTAAGTGGAAATAGTCTTGCTGTTGGGATTTATGTAACAAAAGAAAATGATCAGATCATTCAAAATGTATCTCCAAGGTCCCATGACTTTGAAGATGACTTCTTGAGTCTGGGCTCATCCGTATGAAGTTTGAGTATCCTTGGGCATATTTGTAAAGCAGAAGTCTTGATCAAGTATAAAGTTTGATTTTTCTATTGTACAAAAAGGATTTGGAAGACATCCACTCTACCACATGATCTAATACTAGTCTCATCTTATGAATGGGTGTGCCAACCCTACTTTTCAGATGTTTTGGCACGCCAAATGCACTGCGCTCACCACCTGATTTCTAGGGCTTTACTTCCATGACTTCATTTGTCTTGGTGAAATGTTCTTCACATGTACATAGTCAAGTGCAAAAATATCTCGGTATTCTTTAGAGAGCTTTGAATGTAGCACATGCTAGCCTGCTTCTTTCTCGTCCTTTCTGCGTGGCTGCAGCGCTTCCTGGCTGTTGGATCATGTCTGTAGTACAGATAGAAGATTATCTTGCTGAGTGATAGTGAAGGCAAGACATGGATTGTGTAAAATGAATCTTACATATAACAATGGTGGTTTATCATATGTCATCAACAAGAACATTAGGGGGTTTCAAGTCAATAAATTTACGGTATTTTACAGTCCAACAAGTTGTCCGATGTTGCAAAATTTACCGTAAATTTAAAAAAATTGGGACACCTTTTTAGGTGTCCCAAATGGTGTTGACCATATATTGGCAGAAAAAAAACCCACCGTAAAATTCAAAAAACTTGTCCGTTTTTTAAAAAGTTTCACAAAAAAATTCTGACTTGAAACCCCCTATTCCAAAGCAGATCTGCAGGTGCTGTGGCACAAGTATTGCACAGCTTCCATACTCAACATATTTTGGGAGAGTTCTCAGAGTGAAGTGATTGTTGGGGTTGGGTGGAAGATGATGTCAGCATATATTTCAGACATCTGTGTGGCCATGGGTGATGGTTTGTGATCCAAGAAAGAGGATCAAGGAACAAGATAACTATTTTACAGAAGAATCATTGCTAATAATAATTACGGTACTCAAAGCAACTATGCATGCATACATAGTTGTCATATATAGTTTTTTTTGGCGGGTGAAATACTTCAAATATACTTCTTGCGTTTTTTCCCCCACCAAAAAAAACTATATACGGCAACTATGTACGGCTACATATGTAGCTTTGAGTACCGCAAATACACAGTCTTTCACAACTATGCCATATCTTTCAGTTCTTTAATATAATTACACAAGTACTCCTTTTATTTCGGAACTCTGGCTGATATATACTGAAGTTCTCATCAGAGAAACTTGGTCTCTCATTGTTTCATAGTGCCCTATTTGAAGAGTCACAGACCTGTATTTGGACATTTACTACAGTTGCCTGCCAAAATTATACATAATTTTAAATTTCACTACCTCCTCTCATGTCACTACATATGGGTTGGTGCTGGGCAAACCTGGATGTGTTGGATTGATGCTGTGCTGGTGAGGTGGTGAACTAGATCAGTGGTGTTCAAGTTGTGGTGTTAAGCTGGTGGGCTTGATGCTTCCAGGGTGAGGTGGTTTGGTGTTGGGTTATATACAATGGGTGGTGAGGTGGCTGGTTTAATACGGCGGGTGATGAGGTGGTGAGGTGTGTGTACTGGTGGTGAGCTGGTGGCCATTTATGTACTTCATTGGGATGAGGGGTGTAGTGTGGAGAACGGGACTTGGTTGATTTTCAAAAGAAAGGAAACAGAGGCTTGTCTGCTCCTTGCCTCCCAAAGTTAATAACAGACTCTATTCAAAGATATGTGTAACATTTTCTTTGGATAGTTTCCAAGTCTTTGAGTGGCCACAGGTCATTGTGCCTTTGAGGAGCTCCCAAAGATTTCCAATTGGGTTGAGATTGGGACTTTTTGCAGGCCAGTCAAGCTTGATGAGAGAATTTTGTTTGCACCAGATGTTTACTTGTTTGCTTTGATGGACATGAGATCCATACTCCATAAGTATGAGATTGGGCGGACAATGAGGACTTTAAAGTAATTCAGAAAGAAAGCCTTCATCAAACAATTCCACATAATTCAACAATAGAGTGCTACCAGGAGGCATGAAAATGACCACAGTTCTAAAATTTGTGGTTAACACACTCCTTACCATCACTGAGGTTTTCTCACTCTTAAAGGTAGGGACTAGACTATCAACATGGTACTTTTGACAAGGTGTTCTCCAGACTCAAACTTGTCTAGATTTTCTGACAATTCCAAAGTACCATTCATTGGTCCATATGACTCTGTACCTTTCATCAAAAGTGAATTACTTGTACTTTTTGGTAAACTCTAGCCATCATTGTTTGTTTGTATCATCCAGTGGTGGCTTCTCTACTGCTAGCCATGCATGCATACCAAGTATGTGGATTTCTCTTGGGACAGCTCTAGAGCTGACTTCAGTTGGAAGTAGCTTGGTGATTTTGGATAAAGTGGCCCTTCTGTTCTTGTGAGGAGTGCACGTCTGTTGGGCGTACTCTTCACTAATAATGTAGTCTTCACGTGGTACATCCAAGTGAAGAATACAGCTAGTTGACCTCTAAGAAGAGGATTTAAGGAAGATAGAAAGAGATTACGGGCAATTAAGAGCTAGTGCGCTCTAACCTCTTGAGACTGCAAGGGGCAGGCTTTACACTTTGGTAAACCAAAGATCCTGAAGGCTACTTTTGACTCCTTAAAAAGGAGGAAGCTTTGCTACTTCTAGGTTTATTTCTAGAGACAATGAATGCCCTGGGCTCATAGAAATCAGTACCTTGAGCTCTCAGCAATGGAACCCGTAATGCTCAAGAATGGTCTTTAACAAACTACACAACTAACCACATACTCAAAGATCCTCTCAATAGGAGTCAAGTAAATGTGGTTCTGTGTTGTGATGGTAGTAAAAGATGGGAGATGATTCTAGGGAAGAAGGGGGGCTTATATAGTCTCAGTTCCAGTGTCAACTTGTGGTTGGCGTGTGGGTCTTGTCTATTCACGTGTCAACTTGTGGTTGACACTGGGGTTAGGTTTATTATGTATTTCATACATTACATACATGTGTTTAAGTGGCTCTTGACACTGAGCCTTGAGATGTAGCTTATGGCTTTATACAATATTTTAATATTACATATGGTACTGTTAGCCCATGGTCCTGTAATTAGGGCTCAGAGCTGACAGTTCTTCTCTCACAGCCCCATGAGCTACTAGTCACTGGCAGGCTGGAGACTACCACTACCTTCAACAGAAGTTCAACACATTTTCAAAATCATTTCCAGCAAACTTTTGAATGTCATCAAATGAAATCATAAATTTGTACACACCTGCCCTGTATTCACAGATCAAGAATTGGTGGTTTCAAATTTGATCATTTCTATGTGTTTCTTTAAAAATTAGGACAAGTTCATAAAAAAAATCTTGATGAAACCAACATCTTTTTAAATCAGGACACCTAAAATGGTGTCCCACTTTGAAAAATTTATGCATATTTAACAAAAAAGGGCAAGTTTGAAAAACATAAAATTACATAAAAAAGGCAAACTTGGAACCCCCCAATATATCGCTCAGCGGAATAATGCTGATTTAATGCTGATTTAATAGTGGCTTTCAAACCTGCCCCGGTTTTCAAAAAACCCAGTTGACCCAGTTGTTTTTTGGCAGTAACTTTGTCTATCAAGTTGACATTTGTTGACAGCTCCCAGCCAAAAATTCCACTGGGGCAACCGGGTTTTTTGAAACTGGGTCAGGTTTGAGAGCCACTAATGCATTTTTGATCATTTCTTGCTCTAGTTGTAATCATTTTCCCTTGGGCAAAACACTTTATGCTGGTAGTGTTACTGTGATGGTCCAAATATCAAAGTGAAATAATTGCAACCAAACGGGGCCTAAGCATTTAAGAAAAATTACCAATCAAAAAAGAAACTCTGTACTGTGAGCAAGAACTAATCATTCACTATCTTCAAACTGGATCAATATTCATATAAAAAACTTGATGACCATTTCTGCAGTATATTATTCCACATTTTTTCCCCTTAGAGCTTAGGGCCCGTTTGCACACCGCGAGCAGATACGATGTGGCCAAATTTCACACCAAAAAAGTTACATACGGCCACATCGTATCTGGGTCCAATCTCGACCAGATATTCGAAATCAGATCAGTGTTTGGTTCGAATATTTGAGGTCAATATCTGATCGTCAATATCAAGATATTGTTCCACATTGAGATACAGCCTTTTGGCCGTATCTGAAGGCTCTATCTTGATGTGCCCCTCCTCCATCTATCTTCTTTGTTCATCTCCTTCTCAACTTCTCATCACCCACACAGACCCTTATGTTCTTTGATCCTCACTGCTTTGCTCATCCACCCTCACTCCATAATAGTTTTTACTATTTTGATCATTTTATAATCTCATCTCTGCCTTGTTTAGATATTCTTCTAAAGGATATTGTTCAAGGATCTTCTTTGAATAGTTATACTAAACTTTGAAAAATGCTATCAATGATACTTTGATTCAAAAGGTTTGATTGATCTTACCTTTGAACAGTAGTAGAACTAAAATCAATTGACAATTTGATAATGTAGATTTAGATGATGAAATTATTAAAAGATCAATTTAAAATGCATTTATCAAAGTATATAGATGAAGAAATTGACCGATTAGATTATTAAAGACATAAGATCGAGTTCAAAAGAAGAATGGATACATCGAATGGAAAGATTACGGTAGGATGAGAACAATGAAGGTCAATGATGATTGTTTCAAAAGTTTGAGTTGAATGAAAAGATACATACAATCTCATGTGGTTGTTGCCAAACAGAAATATGATCACCGCGAGGTCAACAGACGTCTGTTGATCTCTTTTGGATTGCTGTTTGGCAATCTCAATATCTGAAAGACCAGTATCTCGATGTGCCCCTTGAGATAGGGGCAAATTGAAATTTGGTTTTCAGGTCAGATAATATCTGAAAACAACCCAAACGGGCCCTTACCTTTCTGAGCTGCAATTGTCTATGAGAATCTGGATCTGTCATGATCATTTGAGCTTTAAAGATGCTGGAGAAGCATATGGCAGAAATCATCATGAAATTTGATTTAATATATATGGATGAGAAAATATGGTGAAAGGATTCTGTTCATATGTTTGTTCATATCATTCCCCAAGGACAAAAAGCTACAAAAACTGTATTATACATATACAATTCATGATTTCATAGAGGACTACACCTCATAAACAGACACTGTGTCAATGAAAAATGTGGAGCAACATGTGGCCAAAGTTAATATCAACTTTCTTGTGCATATATATCTATTTGAAGTTTGAAGATATTCAACATTTGATTCTTCTTTATAATACAAAATTAGTTTTTTCTCATCCATGATTTGCTGCCCAAAAGTTTAATAGCACATCCAATTTACGTGATGAACATTGATGAACTGTATATTCTTGATCTGTGAATACAGGAGCATGTATGTATGAATCTTTGATGTCATATGATGACATCAGCATCTTGGTTGTATGATGGGCAAATGACCCCCACAGGGATATTATGTTGATATTATTGTGAGAATATATTGAGAATATGTTGAGAATATTTTTAAAATATTTTTAGAAAATAGTGAGGTTGTGGTAGTCTCTGGCCTGCCAGCGACTAGTAGCTGGGGGCTGTGTTTAGGGTTTGCTTCAGGGATCATTTGTTGTGTTTGGTGATTTTTTTGGGTCACCCAGTGTGGTTGTGGCCACTTATGGTACTGGTTTTTTTAGACTTTGAAATAATGCTATATACCATTGATGGTTGGTGTCCTAGTTAGGTGAAATTTTGCATGCCACACAGACCTTCTTTATGCATCACAATGATCTTAGCATTCTCCTTGGGTTTCAAAGGTTGAGTCTTCACTATATTCAGGACAGATGAAGTTTGGTGATTCACAAGGAAGATGGTCCAAGAACAAGAGTTCTCTGAGATGAGGTCAAAATGTATTAAATTCCACGTAGAATTTTGGTAGGGAACTGTACTTGAATCACCCTCTCATCCAACCACATACATCATCAGAAATATGTTTTTACATTGATCAGCTGCTTGGAACAAATGAGACTGGAAGTGTCTATGAGGAATTACATTAGAGATGAGGTGAGAGAACACAAGAGCCATCAAGTTTCAAAGTTTATTATGAAGACTAAGCATAGTCCAAAAAGGACACCAGATCACAACAACCCCCATAAATGGATGAAAATTGATGAAGTAGAAAGAGATAAATGCAGACAAAAAGGAAAACAAGAGGAGCTGATACCTAGTTGAACAAAAACCACATATCACAACAGCCCCTGACATATGAATAGAAACTAAGAAAGATATCAATAAAGAAGAAATGGAAAAACAGAAAACAGCTTTAATCTAAGCTACTATCATATCAACTCCAGCTAAGACCTGCTACATGTGTGATTGTAAGGGTGACACCATACATATACAAGGCTCTCACATCATTTGCTACTGACTTTAATGAGGGAATCAATCCCAACAAATTTGTTCTCTTGAATCCATTTGGATGCAACCTGGGCTTTCTCCATTGGTTGATGTCATCCAGTATTCTAAGTGCATTTTGATTCTGTTTGGTATAGTGCAAATCTCACAAATCTTACAATTCAAAATCCTCGGGTTTATGTTGATAGATTCATAGTCTGGATTGATCTCCAGATAAAAGACTAAATCCATGATGATTTTTTTTCCAAAAAATTATCATTAAATTTAGATTGATCATTGAGTAGATGAATTACATTTTCAAGTGAAAGTTTGATTGGTAGTTTAGATAGTCAATCAGGATGATTTGTTTGAGTGAGTTTGTCTTTTTGATTTGTTCTTGCTCAATTTCAGTTGGCTGTTGATAAATATTCACGTGTTGACATAAGGTTTTCATCACGTGATTTACATTATGTAGACTGTCACGCGTTGTGATGTTACGGGTGTGTGAACAATTGAATTGGAATTTCCAGTTTACCTTTGTTTCCATTCTCAAGCTAGAGACAAGAGAGAAGAGACAAGTACCATTTAACAATACTCAACTCCCATTCAAGAGAACAAGAAAGAAAACGTACTAAAAACAAATATCATCATGAATATCTTTCGACGTAAACGAAATGAAAAAGAAGAAGAAGAAACCAATTCATCAAATCAAACCAAAGTCAATAGTCCGAACAGACAACAACAAAACTCTGCAAGAGCTCGACATTCAGTAGCCGTCTCAAGCTTAGGAACTCAAACCATCAATAAGCGTAACATATTCGGTCATCATCAACCTAACAGACCAAGCTCAAATCAATATCGAGAATTACCACCGAGATCGATTTCAGCATCATATGTACCACAACCATCATCTAAATCAAACAGATCCAATGGAATTCCAAGATCGACTATCACTTATGGAAAATCATTATCACAAGTAGCTGCTAGTCCAGAAAAACCAAAAAGTAAGATCCAAACGATTGCCCATCAATTAGAAAGTAAATTAGATATTTCCACTTTATGGGAATGGCCAAAAGATCAATGGAATGAGTTTTGGGATTCATTAGATTTTGATGAGATGGGTGTTAGTTTTGGTTTAGGTTTGGTTGGATTACAAATCTTGATTAGATTGGTTTCTGGGATTGAGAATGCTAGAAGAAATTTAATTATTTCTAGAAGAATGAATGGGATTCATTCGATTGGTGATAGATTAAATGAAGCAAGAGAGTTAGTTAAAAAACAATATCCTACGGGTTGGCTTGAAGTGGTAAGTCTATTTCTTTATACAAATTTTTGCACTTCTTTTTGATCGGTTCTTGATGGATTTCAATTGATTTTGGTTTTGGAACGGGTTTACAATTTTAGTTAACCTTCTTATCAGTTTGTTTATGTGGTTATTCATGTTATAATGCTTATAAGTTATTTTCAGCTAGAAGATCTTATCGTATGCACATTCGAGAAGTGAGTCAACTCATTTGTTTCGAAAACCTATCAAAAAGCTGATCACTGAAAATTCAATGATCGAACAAAAGGATCCGGTCAATTCACCTAATGTAACGCTTGTACAATCTCCAACTGCACCAACTCCACAAGCAATTAGTTGGGCTCAAACAATCTGGAGAATGTTAAGAAGATTATCATCTTTATTAATAGGTTGGCCAAGATCAGGCTTAGAAGATCTACCTCAACCGAGTCAAATTCATCAATTAGATGTTTGGGAACCTTCCAAACTTAGATTAAGAATCTTAACGTTTGTTTGTTTTTGATTCCCACTGATCAATCTAGTTCAAATCATTAACTGGTTCCTTGACTTTTGGGGTTGATGTTTTTGTCTTTAGATTTTATCCTCCACCTTTAGCTTTTCTCTTGCATTTTGCTACTATTAGCGAAAATTGTATGAATTGGACTATCATGATTTTAACAATCCAATTCCAAGTAAGTTCAATCAATGATATCTTTGTGGATTAATTAGAATCATTTCTGATCCTCATCCTCAATTTTTCTTTCTTCTTTTCTTTAGACACATTTACTTATTAAATCATTCACTCAATTAAACAAAGATAAACAAATCATCCAAGCAGAAGTTATGCATGAGTATAATGCTCAAGTTGAGCAACGTTTTTCTTTTTGACTTTCTTTCATTCTCATCCTTTGAGTGTTTCTTTGTTTTGATTACAAAAACTGACTTTCAAATTTCTATCTTTCTTTCTTTTCTCTTCAAGTTTGTTTATCCTAGAACGTTTCCTCTTACTAGATCTATTGGTACAATGACTAGTTCAGCCGAATTTATCAGAAGAGAAGATTGGGTAACTTATTAAACCCGCTGAAAAACATTTTTTTCTTTAGTTTGTCTTTGGCTTTTTTTTTGGTCTCGCATCTCTTATTGCATCAAGTTATATAAATCAATGCCAAGTGACTCAAACTTGTGATATATCGTGTTTTGTTTTTTTAAATCTATTTATATTTGTATATATGTCTATGTGGATGGAAAGAAAAATGGTAAGTTTTATTGTTCTCATTTCTATTTTCGGTCTGTTCTTTTGGATTGCGAATGGTCATTTTGAGAGGATATTTTTTTCTTCTTTATGCAAAGAGGGTGGGAAATGAGTTGGGTGATATTGGTGATTAGTGACTATGTACTACGTTACTTGAATTTACTTATGTCCAGATCGCATTCAAGTGGTAAGAACGGAAGAGCATATGATTTCGTCTACATAGACAGTTTGGTTGACTTGTTCTATCCTTTTTAAAGAGTCTCTGAGTTTGTATTACGCAAAAAAAGAAAATTCTATGATCATCAGATTAAGGAAAAGCAAGAGTTTTCAATCTTGGTGGAATTGATCATGTTTCCGACCAAGGGGTTTTGTGTGTGTGATAATACATTTGTTTACAATTTCACATTTTTCTTGGTCCTTGGTTATTGAAAAGTCATCTTTTCTGGGTTTCTCTTTAAGCTCTTCTTCTATCAGTCATGACTCTAACAATCGAACCTGTTCCACTTAATTCAGTAAGCTAATTTTCAAAACAAAAACAAACCACATAAGTAAACACCCTCCCCCTTAACAAAGTGACAAAGAAGAACAGAATCAAAAAGAAAAAAAAGAGAAAATAGACTGACCTTTTCGTGCCAATTCAAAAGTACAGCAGAAGGAGTATTCGAATCCATCGTGATTAAAGACATAGATTTATAAATATATTTCATTAACCAATCTAACTGATCTGAATTCAAATTAGACAAAATCGAAGGTATATCAGAAGTACGAGTAGTCGATAAAGTTTCAATGATTGTTGAAAGGATTAGAGATTGAGCTTTTTGAAGGGTTGGAGAGGGCGGTCCGTAAGGTGGTGAGGTTAGTAAGAGTTGTAGAACTGCAGGTACATCGGCACTGTTGAGATGAGATTGAAGACAAATTGATCGAGTGAGTTACTTGATGCGATTTAGGTACAAGAAAAGAAGTGAAGAGATATCTTTTTACCGAGCTAAGAGGGATCTAGCTTGTTGAGTTTTAGATTGAGCATCAGATAACATTTCTTCTGCAGAACGTGGATCATGTTCATATAGTTCTATTCAACCAAACCATAAACCAAGGATCAACATTCGATTTGCTTTTGTTGAGGAAGATAGAAGAAAGACTTTACCATCTTCTTTTAATGCATCTTGATCATATAAATCGATGTCTATCTTTCTATACGCGCTATCCATTTTGGTTTATATAGTCTTTAGTTGGTTTTTTGGGTTGATAGTTGGTCCGTTGGTTTTGTTGAAGGTCAAAGTCATCGATCGATTGGTTTTACATTGGAAATTCCATTTCATCTCATCGTCATCGTGCGGCTGGAGTGGTGTGCGCAGTGGCGCCTGTGGCTGCGCCTGACGCAGGCGCGCTCAGGCGCAACTTGCAACCTCCCTTTCAAAATTTGGGCCCCATGCATTTTTTTAAAGTGCTTTTATCACACTAACACTGTGGGGAGTGTGAACCACAATTGGGCAAAGTTGTGGTGACTAGGTACGCAGCTTTCTTCAATCACGGATCTTGTTTGCTCCAGGTTTGCCATAGGTTTGCTAGCTTACCTTGGGTTGCCCTTGAGTTGTCCACTACATATTTGACTACAGTAACACATATGTAGTGAAGCTCACAGCAAAAGAAAATTCACAAGAAGTTGTAAGAGACATCCATTGTAGTAGACTTACGTAGCTGGTTAGTGCAATATGCAAAAGCAAAAGCACTTTAAAGTAAACAATGAATAAATAAAACACAAGGGAAGCTCTAGGGCAGCTAGCAAACCCATGGCAAACCCATGGCAAACAAGGTCCGCGCTTGAAGAAAGTTGTGGACTTAGTCACTGCAACTTTGCTCAATTGGGGTTCACACTTGATAATTCCCATAGTGGAACTAGCTTGATAGTCCAATGTAACTACTGCAGATTACAACTTTGTCTTTGTCTGCTCCTGTACCTGACTAAATAAATGCACACAGAAAGAGAAAAAAATTAGAAAGAAATCATAAGAAAAGGAATTGCATAATAATATATTAGCAATTGGTTGGTTTCAATTACCTAAGTACATTTTCAAATATTTGAATCTGCTGGTGTCCTGAATGAATTGAGCTCGGTAAGGGAAGACTTTTGGGGTGGCTAATAGCTTTGTTGCTGAGTTGATATCAACTTTGATCTTCTCCTTCTTGACTTGTTTTTGAAGTGCTTGTCTTTGTTCTTTGTATGTTTTCAAGGGACCCATGCATGTAGAGCCCCCTCCAAGTGGTATCACTCAATTGCTGGAGTGGTATCAAGGCAAATCTGCATTTCCCTTTGATTGACCATTTTAAATCTTTATGATCAATCAAGTCAGATTTTTCAATAGATCAAAACACTTGAAGCAAACCTTACTGATTATCTTCTGATCAAACAAACTGTAAAGAAGGGAAAAGAAGTTGAAGTGATTCATCTGTACATAGTTGGAAATCTATGTGGGAAGGAATGTGGTACTGAGTCTTGGTACCAGTCAAACCCAATGGTTACAAATCCTAGGTATGGGGACATGTACTTATTCGTTCTTGACCGAAAACAAAAATATAGCCAAAACTAGGGCTATAATCCAGCCCTGGAAGTTCAGGGCCGGCCACACAGCCAAATCTGGCCTCCAGGGGATCCAAAAATCACTCCGGGCCAACCAGGTCATGTTATGGGCACAGCACAAAAAGCTCCAGAAATTTATGTCTGTGTCTCAAAAGTTCTAGATGGGCAGAGGTGCACCCTATATAAGCTATACCTGGAGAACTTGACTCTTGAGTTTACAAGACACTCATCTCCATAATTTGGTAACAAATTATCATCCTCAATGCTGAAGGAACAACAGAAATTGTGTCAACCTGAGAGGTTTTGCAGAGCAAAACCCCCACGGTATATACATAAAACTTAAACAATAAACTTACAACTCTCTCACTCAGTTTCAAGAGTGTAAAAACATTACTTAACTGGACAATAATCATACGTATTTTTCTTTTTTTATCAAGGGTATAAAACATTACCCTTGATAGAAAACACCGATAAAAACTAAATTCATTTACAAAGACCCGTACCAGAAGAGAAACAACCCTGGTACGATTTCTCTAACACATATATTAAAAAGCTTCTACTCAGGGTTTAACAACCAATACAACCTGACCAGGCAAAACAAGAAAAGGCTGCTTAGTAACGAACCAGCCGCATGAGATCATAACAGTCCTAAAGGAAACAGGGTCTATGACATCATGAAGTAAGAATCAAGTCAGTTAAAAGGAACTCGCTTTAGCCAAAAAAGAGAAGAAGAATCCTTACCTTTTTACCTATTACTAAAAACCCACTTTTTCCTTAAAAACTCGTTTTCCTTTCGAAAAACCTTTTTTTAAAAAACCTGAAACCCTTTTTTTTCTTTCTAAAAAACAAACTCTTCTCTTAGATAGATATTATCACGTTTAGAATTCTTATTAAACAATCTAGAATCCTACTTTCAAATATCCTTTCTCAGACCAGTCATTTGTTCTTTATCTTTTTCATCTCTATTTTTTTTTAAAGTCAAAAGCGTTACAGATCGTTAGGCTCAAATAAGCCTATCCGACTAAAGTCTGTCGCAAAATATCCCCTTTTGATTCAATAGCAATCAACCAACACTGAAGTGTGGCCTAAAGTTCAGATAGCTATTTTCAGCTTTCGCTTTGGAAGACGATTGAGTGTACAGCACCTCAATCAGTAACTGGCAGCGGTGACCATTCCGCACCAAAGGCAACTGTAGAAACCAGCTACAGTCTTTTATCAACTTCACTAAGAACCAAAAACCAAACCTCGAACAAGAATCCAACTAGATTTTGTTAATACGAGGTCTACATTTAGTGAGTAATTCATCTCAGTCTACACCTCTTAGTAGTCTTAGGCTGACAAATTGTCACATGTATGAAAGCCCATGAATGGGTCTCGCCTGGTACGCACCGGTTCACTCTAGTGGACATGAATATTGATTCTGGCAACACACAATCTTGTACAAGCTTGCCAACTTTCACAGTTTACTCACAGCAAGATAGATGGCAAGCCAACTAGACTCCAGATGCACTGTGCCTTACCAGCAATACACACTGTAATCCAGATCCTTTTGCCTGCAATCAAGCTGCATGGGCTGGAACCCCATTCTGGGATTCGAAATCCCCTTTATGCATATGCATGTCAGCTACCAAGAGTAAGTCTCACAATTAAATTACTCAAACCGACTTGAAGATGATATTGCAAGTCAAACTATCACTTGTGCTCAACTCAAAAAGAGCCCAATCCCAAATTCAAATTCAAAATCAAAATCAAATTCAAAATAAACCCAAATTTTGAAACTCACATTACTTTCTTTTCCAGAATTGAAGAGTTTGAAGATTTTGAAAACTTGGCTGCACTATGGAACCCCAATGATTGTTTTTAATTTCAATTAAGGCAGAGAAGTTCTTGAGAAGTTTTTTTAGCTATTATTTGAGTTGTGCCACACAGCACACCTGCACCTCAGGAGCACCCAGGCCTTCCAAGAAGCCGGTTCTCCGTGCCTGGGCACATGCCTCAAGAACAGACTGCCCCAAAAACATGACAACCTGGGCACACCTTGTTATATGTGTATCAAAATATATTCAGAGGCTGTATGAACCTACATGGATATCAAAAAAAACGATACAGAGTATATTTTGAAAGAGAAAGATTTATCTTTTTCTTTATTGAGCAAAAAAACAGGCGCCCATGCAGGAGGGCTGTGGGCGTGCCCACAGGGCATTTCTAACTAAGTTTCAGTGTGACAGGGCATGAACCAGTAGCTTCAAAGCTGTTGTTGGGCCGGGTCTGGGTCACAGCCCTAGCCAGCACAGTCCAAAATAAATACTACCTAAACAGAGTGTAAATATATAGGATTTGATAAAATTGATACATTACTACAATTCAATGGAAAAAAGTGTCAGTTTGGTTTGAGAATTTTGACTCATCCTTACCCCATGGTACTTTTCTCAATTGCATTTCATGGATTCCTGAGCTTCAAAGCATGTATATATTATGAACAGCTCATGATATAACGAGACATACAGAGATAACTTCTGGATTTCACAGCAATGTCTTTTGTTGAACCAAATCCAAAAGAATAAAAAATCTTCATAGTGACAAGAAAACATAGAAGAATTTAGAGACACAGTCAGGTGAAAAATTAGTGATGACCAGACTTCCAAACTGAAGCAAGTCATAAATATGATTTTTAAACATGATTACAGAGGTGTCAAATTAGCTTTGAGTTTACTCAAGATTTCATTATGCTTGTGACCTTTTTGCCAATCACACAGATCAGAGATCCACATTCATATGTTCATCACATGCACATAGATATTAAACCCACCAAAAACTATATATGTATGGAGACATGTGGAGACAGCATTTCATATAGTTTATCACAGAGATAATGGCGCCCCTGCAGTGATGAGGAACATCTTGGTGTTACATGTCTCATCTCAAAATCTGAATAGGAGATATAGTAATTCAAATTGTGGTGAGAAACCAGAGACCAATTCTAGTGAAGGTGCATTTTTCTTGGTCCTACCTCATTCTCAATGCTCTCATATAGATCATTTTAATCCTTCAAAACCATGATAAAATATTTTGATAGCTACCCAGTGTGTCTCCTCATAATTGTTCATCAATGTAAAGGGATACCATCCCCTAGTCTTCAACACATAAACGAGAATGAAGTCAGTAGTGTTAAAAATTTGGTGTCAGATCCTTTGCTTGAACCACATGACTTTCTCTCCAGTCCTTTGGAAACTGCACATTTTGAGAGATCCAACAAACTTGAGGTCACAGAGAATACTGGAAATCAACTCTCATCAAGCCTTGCTTCTAGTGCTTCCCCACCTGGATTCAAACAACAACAAAAGTGTAAGCAATCCTGAAATCTCAATAACTAAACGATTTATAAAAACACCTTAGATTGGTGATGGTGCATCCGACCAAATTGATACAGATTCCACTGTTCATTCAAAGTCCATCAAAGTTTATGAGGCTTCCTCACAAGAAAGCAATCAGGATTATTGGGAAGAGAGAATCCAAAATGATATTGCATATAAGCCTGCAATACATGCTCCCAAGGCCATCCCAAAACCCATACAACGTCCCAAACCAGCCTCCAAGGAAATCAGTGCTGTCCACTCAAGTACCAAGCAAGATTCAACGGGAGATGATTCAGATAGAAAAATTTATCTGGAATCTAGCACAAGTACTTCAACTGGATTTTACAACTTATGGGCTGGAACTGCAGGCCTGAATAACATTCTACACATCAAAGATTCAAGACAGCCCAAAGAGCCCAAGAATTCATATAAACCAATAAATCCACTCAAATATTTGCACCCTGAAATTTCTCAACCTTTCCCACACAATCCACCCAAAAAATCAGCATCTTCTCTAGAAATTCACAATCATCCAGATTTTTCTGTAACTCCAGTATACAGGAGTGCTGATGTGGCTCAAATGGGACACATACCACCAGAAACAGAATTCATCGGGCATCAAGGCCTGGTATCACAATTGAACCCTGAATCAACAATTCAAGTAAGTCTTCCTTATAGAAATACATCCATGATTATCACACTATCATTGATACTGTCACATTTCATTTTTACCATGTCAAGATGAATTATTGGCCACATGATGACTCTCAACATTGGACCAAGCAACATACTCAACCTTTGGAATTGTCAAAAACTCAATATTCTTGGCCCAATTTTCACAACTACCGTCCATTTGAACCAGTGATGAAACTCTCTTCCAGACCCCTCAGTATGAATCAGGGAAATCCTCCACAAAATTTTGGACAAGGTAAATTTTGAATTTGACACATTTTATTTATTTTGATGTCATTCAATTTCTTCTGAACTGGTTTGAAATTGCCGTATATTGCCCCAGATCCACATGGGACCAGAATTGAAGCTTATGATAAAAAATTGAGAAATGGTCAGTGGTCGTTTTCAAGAAGAATTTCCCAATTTCTTAAACCATGATACAATTCAACACTAATATTCAATCACACAGCTTCAGAGTTCTTTGAGACAAAGATTTTCAAACCTCAAAAAATAGGAGAGCAATACAAAAACAAGCAGGAGGAGATTCTCAATTACTTTGAGATTCTAAGAGGAAATTTGATAACAAGTTTCAGTCAAGAAAAGTGTCACAGTTTGTACATTCTGAGGATGCCAGATGATTTTGTGAATTTTGTTGCCTATGCAGTGAAGTTACCACAGATACGCTCTCAAGTGAAAGAACAGTTGGAAACATGGATTATGTGTAGCAATCCCAAAAGCTCTCTTTCTTTTGTAAGTAAATATGCACTGAAATGGATTCATGATCAAGAAGACCCTGAAGGGAAAAAAGATGAAGGTTTCTACTCCAAGGGTAAGATAGAATTGACTACACAATTGATCCTTGACAGTCAAATTTGACAACTATACTGATTCCTTTTCCCACTTTTTTTCCCCTTCTTGTAGCTCTGCATGACTGGCATTATGAAAGGAACTCCAAGCATTATGAGATGAGATTAAACAAATGTAAGAACAAGGTTGCTTTTCTTTCCTATTAGGTTATATCAAATTGAACAGTCACCCTCCATTTCCTGACTATGAATAAATCATCAACCATCACACACTGACATGAATATCTATAGCATGGAGGCACTGGTCAAAATTCATTCACAGTAGGTGTCATAGCAATGAACACATATTTCATGAACTTATGATGGGATTTGATGATGTAAGGCAAAGAATTGAAAGCAGGATACAAAGCAGGATAATAGGATCTCAAGACAATTGGTTCATGCCAGGCGAGCTTTCAGACTATGTAGTCCTTGCTTGTAAAAGAAAAGAAAGAGCTCAGATTATCAAGAGTGATTTGGAGCGCTGGATCACAAGTGGTGATTCCTGTTCTACATCAAGAATGTGTACATATGCACTATTGTGGCTTGATAGAATAGAAACATTTGCTGACAAAGACTATAGGCTTCTGGTCCCAACTTACAGTGACACCACTGCAGCCACATTGAATGGTCTGTTGTTTTGTTTTGTATTCTGCACATTTTTCTGCCAAATGTTACATTGTTGGCTCTTTGCAATCTTCTGACAACTCTAATTCATTAAATTTACATAGGTGTTTTAGAGTTGGATTACAAAAAGAGGCTGGACACAGGTCAGTAACAGGAAAGTCAGTATGACACTAGTAGTAGAAGCTGATGATCAAATGATATTTCCCAATATCCACTTACCAAAAGCATTTGAGTACTGGAAAGATCTGATGCACATGCCTTGGAAAGTGCAAGAAAATGACAGCCTATATCATAATTTCATCAATGAACAAGTTGAAAGCTCAGCAAAGTGTCTACATCACATAATCAAAGCAAATATTGCAAAAGGAATTGATCCTGATCAGATGGACAAACAATTTGCCACATATGTTGCATCTGCGTTGAAATATCCAGAACACTCCGACACTATCAAACAGCACCTTACCTCCTGGATGGTACTGCCCAGAGCTGGAAGTTCATTGCAATTTAAAGTGCAGGTTTCACTTAAATGGCTTCAGGATAAACAATGTATGTTGGACTCAAATTCCTCTTGAAATTTCAAGTGATATGGTGCAAGGGTCTTGTGTTATCTGATCCACAAGGATTCATTTATATTTTTATAATCAGCATAGTTGATCTCATTCAACCTATATATTTGATTCCATAAGTTTGACCAAGGATTGGTCCTATGACAGGAGTATATATTCAAAGTGGAGATATATTTGTTCTCATACCATACTTCAGATGACATTTTCAAGGACCTTCAAGGACCCCTCAGATGTTTCCAAGCTCATCTGAATCTGTTTATCTTGTATTGATATACATAAACTTAGCTGCCAATCATTGTATCTATTGTACAGCTTGCACATTACAATCATAGATTTTACAGGGATAGGTATCTATATTTTACAATGTGGTCAGTATCAAATTCCAACATGTTCTTTCTCTTCTCCTCATCCCTTGAGAAGGGGATTCTCCATTTCTCAGGAAATTGTTTGATGACTCTAGGAATTTCACAGATAGGTGAAAGCTTTTTAGAAGGAGGGCAGCTTCCACCAGACAAATCAGATTCCCCACACAGGAAGTTTAGTGAGACAGAGGCAGATTCCTGGTACATCCCATGAGATAACAAACAATGAGATTTTGAGGTATAAGAATCTAACAAAGTGGCTGTCCAGATGCATCTGGGTCCCAAAGTTTGGGTAAAACTGGTGACTTTTATTGAACATGTGGGTGTCATTAAGGCAATTCTGAGTGCCTCAATTGTATAAGAACTGAAGAGGAAATCATTTGAAGAGCTTTGACCTGTTGTTGAAGCTGGCAACAATTGTGTCTGATGGGTCTGGAAAGGTCTGTGTGCTTCATCACGGATGGTATCTGACATGTTTACTCCTCTGTATACTGTATACAATTTTTATGCGGTTTGAAGAGGAGTAATACAATTTGTGCAATTTTAGTGACACAGGTGAATGCTGACCATACAAGTGTATTCTGTGTATCTTCTTACACTTCTTTTGTGTAATACACTACTTTTATAGAGATTGAGATTTTTGAAAGGATCACTACTTGTAGTTACTTTTAGATTGATTTAATGATTATCAAATGACAATCCAATGCTCTCAAAATTAATGATTTCAATCAGTTCGAAGATTGATTTATCACTTCTGGATGACAAAGTTGAGCAATTCCAACTTCAATTTATCAATTGCCTTATTTTAAGAATGAATTTCATTGAAAGTGTTGTGTTATAACTTTCAATGCTTTTGCTTTGTAACTTAAGATTGTTATTGTTTTGTGATTGGACTTGCATGAGTCTAGTTTGTTTGAATCTCAACTTTTGAGCAAGGTTGATTTCCTAGGTTTTGATCTGATGAGGCCCCAAAATGTGACGTTGGGTGCTCTTTTAGAGGAGGCTACTCTCACTGAAGATGTACTGGTACTAGTATCAGATGGGTAATTTAATAAAATGGTATTATATTTCAAATAATACCTAGTCACAATTGAAGAGGAGGGTGAAAAAGGGAGGAAATGGTAGAAGGTTAACAACTAAGAGTCTGCTGGGACAAATCCTGGCAGACTACACCTAGTTGACTCTTGATAAAGAGATTTGTTTATAAGGGACGAGGTACTGGGGGGCCAGCCACCCTCTGGAAGTGGGTGGCCCGCCACCCTCTGGCACTGGACTGGGACGGTACTTGGTTGGCAGTTTGCTGGGACCCTGGTTCTTCAACCTGGACCTGCTTGGGCTTGGGTCATACTCTTTTGTAGGTCTTCACTACCACCATTCAAAGTATGTACCAACCATGGGATGGTGACGTCCGCAGCCCAAGCTCAGGACCAGAGAGGCAATGAAACTCTCATGTACAAACAGTATCAACCTCACTATCCACTTCTGAATTCCTCCTGGCAGAGACTTTGAAGAAGGAAATATAGCCAGAAACCCTACTGGAGGTGATCAGATAGCCCTAAATAGTCTTCACGTAGGCTTTTCAAACTAAGCCTCTCTCTTAGATTTATATTACTATCCAAATCCTGTGTAAGTATTAAGTAGAACCAATCATCCAGTCTAAATCAATAGGTGTTGTTCGTAGTCTCTGCACTTCAGTTGAGAGTAGCATGATGAGATGAGCCAAATGTTCAGAATGATAATAATTGTTATTTTGTTTGTTGATCAAAGAAGAGAATATCAAAACTCAACTCATTGGAGGTATTCCATCAGAATAGAGATTATATTGTTTTGTTCTTGTTTTAGTAATCAATGTTGAAGTTGGTCAATCCAAAGTGATTGGCTTCCTAGAGACATGTGCATTTTATGAGCACAAAAGAAGTAATATGTGGGGTGCAAGAGATGTGAATAAATGATCTGTTACCCATGAAAAGTCTGCAAATGCCAAAGTTGCAAGAGCAAAGATGATACTGAAACTCCTGAGAACAGGCAAACTCTTAAAAGGCATCATTTTAGAAAACGGACTAATAATAACTCATTAGCTTGCTAAATTTGATGTGGTAAGGTGAAATCCTGTTGAACCACAGATGAGAGAGATTTTATAAACTTACAGATCAGGTCTACAATTTTTGGGAAGCAATGTACAATGTTCAACGTACTTGGCTTTTGGGTGAGGACATTCTTTCTGTAGTATTGTCCTCAAGTCAGTTTGTTGCAACCTTAACTGGGAAGAAAACCATGCAAGGAAGCTCCAACAACACCAATTTTTTTCTAATTCAATATCTAATTCATGCTAAACCTGTGGATACATCTCTGTTCTATTGGTATACGTGGAAATTAATCAACCACAAGATTAGCTTGGTTTGGTGTATTTAATTTTGAACATGGATTTCAAATAAATGCAGAATATGTTTGTCCACAGTGAAAACAACTATTTACCTTGAAGAATCTGTTCTGTACAATAATTAACTTGAAGTATTTTATCAGGCTAATGGATTGTTATCAGCCTTTCCACCAAATCTTTGGACACAATATTGTGGATTGTTTCCTTTCCCTTTAAGTTTAACCAAACTTGAATTTCCGAGATAAAGCCACCTGTTTGATATTTTTCAAATCTAATTCCTTTGCCTTTGTAGCTTCTTTATCCATGAAATATTCAACCATCAGTTTAATTGACCATTGATGTGTGGAAATAATGATGTTTCTCAGAACTTTGAGTTCTGCTTGATCCTTCAGAAGATCTTCTAAAAAAATTCAAGTGCATTCTTGATACTATGCTGTTGATTCTCTGCCGTGCACCTTCCCATCTGCCCAATTGACCTCCTTGTTCCTGGTCAGATCTACTGACTGTCCTTGCCAATCTGCAAATTTCAACCCCTTGAGACCCCCATTTTGCACAATGACATTCTAAAGCTTGACCTAACAGGCAGCTCAAGATTTTCCCCATAAAATAGTTCTAATTTAAAAGCTAGTTGATCAGGTAACTATCTTTTGATTTCTTTTGGGCTCTTGAATGAGAGAGCCCAAAAACTGAGCTGATCAATAGTTGGAAATGTATCTGAATTATCGAGACTGCAAACTCATCGCAGAGCTTGTGTTGCTCAACATTTACACTTATCTATACACAGTCATTTGGAGTTCAACCAGTGATACTCCTTCCAAGTCATGTGTGAGGCCATCGGGTGGATTAGGGTATGTCCTTACTGAATTCGCATTGATATAGAACTTCGCTTCATTGACCGCACGTTCAGTGTAGTAGCTTTCTTTTGCTGCATGTACGAACGTTTTGTGGGCACGAAAGTGGGGTGCATTTCCGAGATCATGACATGTATCAATCAGTTATTTGCATACATTCCCTAAAAGATATTATGTATGTATATTTCAGATGATTAAATTTGTTTTTTTGGTTGATCAAGAAAATTAATCAACTGCTAATGTTAATTCTTTTGGATGATTTATGAGCCATAACAGACGTATTAAGGTTGGTTGCAGTACCCAATACCCAAGGAAAGTAAAAGTAAAAAGGTTGCTTGATGTCCGAATTCGTTTTTGACATAAGATCGAAGATATGAGACACGCGGAAGTCTAGCAATATCACTCTACAAATAAAAACGTAGAAAATTAGTTTGATTTTGATAAAGCTTAAGAGAATTGAAATAAACACTCAACTTGAGATTCAGATATTGAGGTCAGAAGACAATACGCTAGCGATGCACACTCATCAACTACCACAGGCAATGTACATTTGTAACGTAAACGGATGTGTACAGTGAACTGATTGCCCTTCAAAGGAGGATAGCTGTCACACCTTTATAGGTGCAGAGGCCAAGCAGAAGACCGATTGCTGTGAGGTGACACAAACAGAGACAAATTAGAGGCCAGGCCACAATTGCTAGTCGAAGTGTATAAAGGTGGGACCTGGCCAAGTAGAAGTGGACTGCTTTGTTTGCTGTGTAGCGTGCGGTGATTTGCCAACGGGCGTGGTTTGAGCTAAATTCTGTAATCAGACCGTGCGTCAAGTCAAGTAGCGGTAGTTCAAGCATGCGAGGTCAATGGGAAGCACCATCCAGGCCTAGTTGGGCCAGGCACTGTCATCGTGGGTAGGCAAGGCAAATGCAGGAACCAGCGGCAACCAGAGTTGTTGATCTGAGCCAAGGGAGGTGTGATAAGGGAATGTTGGAGATTTGAGTGAGAATTGCAGCAGAATGATTAGAAGGGTCTAATGCAGTGAAACAGGGCACCGAGGCCAGTCCAAAAATGAGTGTGACCAGATGGGCCAGGGCATGTATTTTAAAGGGGGTGGAGTGGTATGGTACAACGGATAGGGGGGTCGTAATGGTATCATGTAAAGGGTAAGGGTATAAGGAGAGGGTATAGAGTAATGTGGGCTGAGCAGAAAGTAACAGTATCAGGTAGAGGGTAATTAACACTGGGTACTGGGGATGGTCGGGAGGAACATTTGTTTAAGTATATAGATAATATAGGAAGTGTAGACACAGCCCCCAATCACAAGTCACTGGCAGGCCAGTGCATCCCACCAACCCTAGCAAGTTATGAGAAAGTTATGAGAAAGTTATGAAATGGATATCAAATGGATAACATCCATCAATTGAGAATCTATTGAGAAGCGGTTATGATACCAACAAAATTGAGATGATGTCATACAGAATCATAAATCTGTACAAACCTGCTCCTGTATTTCCCCACCAAGAATATATAGTTTATTAACCTTTGTGACGTAAATTGACTGAGTTATTGGGGTTTGAAAAAAAAATCACAGACAAAAAATACTATTTTTGTACTATACCTAAGAATTGATTCTGGAATATCTTGCAGCTTTATCAATATACAGACACAAAAAAATTGATAATCCTTTTGAAAATATGTTTCTCCACATTTTTGTCCCCTAAAGCCTTCCTGTATGGGCAGTATTTCTACATGTAATTCCTGAATGTGTCCGCAAGTTTGATTTTCTGAAGTTCTTTGCCCCAAGACAAATTATGAGGGGACCTATTGCCAAAATCATTCTGAAATTGATTGATATACATGTAAATGGTATTTTACAAAAATTTCTGCCATAAACTTTGCCATGTTCTGCCTAAAGTCAAAGAATCAAGCAAAATGTTGACTGCTCATGTATACACCACAATTACATATAGAAATACTGCCCATACAGGAAGGCTTTACAGGACAAAAATGTGGAGAAACATATTTTCAAAAGGGATCTCAATTTTTTGGTGTATGTATATTGATGAAGCTGGAAGATATTCCAGGATCAATTCTTAGGTATAGTACAGAAATAGTATTTTTTGTCCCTTCACATCTCAATAGAATCATTATCGCTTGGCCAGGGGCCCTTGGCGCATAGAATTCTTGTACCTCAGCTTGAGCGGCAAAGTTGATCATTGACCCATTTTTGATCGAACAACTTTTACAGCTGGTCCTATGAACCTTGGACTTTGCTTTTGGTTTCTGCGCTTTGTAATTTTTGTATTTGCTTTTGCATAAGTTCAAAAGTGACTTTTATCAGCTGTTTTTTTTTGCTCAAATGATTCTGAAGCATTGTATTCCATTTCTTGAGAAAAAAACAATTTTTTATACACGGTAAATGTTGTTATCTTTTTATATAAAACCACACATCTGTAACCAGCAGGCACAATTATCAGCAGTTATGTCACACATGTGACAGTTTCACTTTACATACCTACCAGTTCACCACTCAACAAGTCCCTACTTCCTCCTAAACCTCTACCATCACATCACTTATCTTTCGTTTTCTGATGTACGTGAAATATTCAGCTGACATCAAAGTCATCGCCGTCTGTCTTGCCCTTGCTGGAGTAGACCTTGGTTCAATCAACGATTGTATGGATATCAACATCTCCCGCCAATCTCTCAGTCGATGGCGCCATCTTTATGAAACAACCCGATCAGTGCTTTCCAATCCACAATTCTATGAACCACGAGGCCCACCGACGATCCTTTCAACCATCGAGCGTGATTTCATTGAGGAGATGCTTGAGGATGACCCCACGTTATATCTTGACGAGGTGGCCGAACGTCTTCTGCGCCAGACTGGGACCTTCATCTCCATCTCGGCTCTAGCGATTGAGATTCGAGACCGTCTAGTCCTGACCCGCAAGGTTGCTCGTACGGTGCATCCAAACCAATCGGCTATACGTCAAGGTGAATACATCTATGAGGTTGGTGGAATCAGACCAGAATGTCTGGTATTTCTAGGTTGGTCTTCCCCTTCCATCAACTTACGGTCTTGATTAATATGGCTGACCATATTCTCTTTGGTCAGATGAGAGTTCAGTAGCCAAACGAAGGCTTTATCGCAAATACGGCCAAGCTAAACGCGGTAAACGCACCAAAAGACTTGATCGACCAACCAACTCAAACCGATTCACTCTATTGCCGGCAATCTCTCTGGATGGATGTATTGCTCTGCAGGTGAAAGAGGGTTCTTTTAAGCGACGGGACTTTGAGTCTTATCTTGAAGAATGTCTGGTAAGCATCTGATCACATCACTCAATTTATAGTTTCCTGGACTCCAATCATCTGATTTCACTCATTCTTCTCTCTCAATTTGAATCGATCTCTCAATCTGAATTGATCTCTCAATCTGAATCGATCTTCTCTCTCAATCTAAATCAATCTCTCTCAATTTCACTCGTTCCTACTCGATCTGACTTGTTCCTACTTGTTCCTACTCGATTTGACTTGTTCCTACTCGATCTGACTCGATTTGACTCAATATCACCTGCTATCAATTGATATCATTCAATCTGACTCGACATCACTTGAATTCACTCGACATGACACTTGCTGGACTCTAACCCTCCCATACTCAATACCATCCAACATTCTTGTCATCTCACTCAACAAACTAACCTCAACTAGCTACCTGCAATGAACCCGTGGCCACAGGAGAACAGCTGCCTGATACTTGACAACGCTCCGATCCATCACGGTGGTGAAGTTGAAAACCTTTGTGAGCGATTTGGTGTAAGATTATTATACCTTTCACCTTATAGCCCAGAATTTAATCCGATTGAGAAAGCCTTCTCAGTAATCAAGAGCCGCTTGCGTCGAACTCAAGCACTGATTGGTGACTTAACTCCTGAAGAAGAACAAGAGATAATTTACACTACAGCAGAAGATGTCATTACACCAAAGCTAGTTAGGAGCCTCTATGAAGGATCTATATATTTGTAGTAACAGTAGGGGCTAAAGTGTTTGTGATATAGGTGCAGCTTCATGATAATCATACTTACTCAAGCCTCAAATGTTTTCAACTCTTTGTATCTGTGTTTTATTCGATCTGAGCAGCAATAAAAAACATATGTATTGCAAAAGACAATTTTGTTTGTATAAAATCATACATTTTGGGAGTGATCAACCGTAAAGTACATCAGGTAAAGTACAGGATGACAAAAGAAAAGATCACAAGAACTGGAAATCTTCACTGAGATTCCTGAGAGCAGGATTTGAAAAGAAGTATGAGGGTATGTGGTCAACAACACTCAGCGTTGAATAGGTTCAAAAGATCCCTTCAGAATCGATTCTCTGACTCGTTGACCGAATCTTGCAGCGCCTGAAATGAGTTTTCGTGCAATGGCAAGTGGAAACTCTAATGAAACCAAGGTCTTAACATTGAAGTCTTCGGCTTCGTTCACTCGAAGGTCAGTCCAATGATTGAATCCTTGAACGTGAAGCTTATTTCGAGTTTCTTTGTCGGCAGGATCGATTAATGCAAATAAAAGGAAATCTTCAAAACTGCCGCAATTGGAGCTTCTGAAGAGACGCTCATCGGTGTCTGAGATTGAGCTGATTTGTGAGCTGGTCGAGGCTGTGACTGTAGCTGGAGTATGTACTGTAGGTATAGCAGCTTGAGAAGCTTCTCCTGCCCTCCTAACCTCATCGAGTGGAGATATCCCGTTGGGGTAGAACCGAAAAGCCACTGTTTTTGGTGGAATGCTCAATGTTACTCCTTTCTTACCCACTCGTTTGTCTTCAATCTATAGAATAGCAGTGATTAGGTCATTTTTTGTGTAATCAAACCTCACGTAAAGCAGTGAACTGACCATGATATCGGCCCAGAGCCTAGCCTTCTCACTTGTAACTCGAAAGAAGTTTGAACTGTTGTCAACATCGTAGCATACTGAGTTGTCGCCTCTTCGATTTTGAGTCATGATCTTGCTAATGAGCTCAGAGCGCTCATTAGCTGAGCCAGATTCTGGAAGCTCGAGTTCTCTAGATGGATTTGCACTCTCGTCAATCTTCCTCTTCTTGAAGATTCGCATTGACTGGAGTTGAGATTGAATGTCGTCTCGACCTTGCTGGATAAGTGAGGGGTCTGACATCTTTAACATAAGGATTACGAAATGAGTTGGTCCGAGGTGTTGAATTGATTCGATGAACTCGTTCCATTCATCATTCTCGTCAATATTGTGAAGTGGACCAGCCCGTTTGGTTGTTCTTTCTGTAGCAATCCACACGAGTTCTTTAGGTGGATTGGGATCGGTGAGGTACATTGAAAGACTGTCGACATATTGATCCACTTGTTCCATGCCAAGACGTTTGAATTCATCAGGGCTGGTATCGAAAGGATTGATCGTAAAAGAATGTTGATGCTTCGATCCTTTTCGAGTGCTCAAAACTTTCTTGTAGCTAATAGTAGATGAACCAATAACTTTGTTTGAACCTCGTTTTGATGTTGAAGAAATTGATCTGTTTTCCTTTTGTTCTTTCTCCATCCAGATCTCATAACCCACCCAAACTCGCACTTCTTTCATCCTCTCTTCATCTTCATCGGTTGAATCTTCTTTGAGAGAATTCTTCATTCCTTTTATTCTGAGGTATCAAGTGGATTTGGGCTTCTCGGGTGAATTAGGTTGAATTGGATCCTTTAGAATTTCTAATACAATCAAAGGAATGGAGTATTTAGTATTTTGATCACATCTACATAATTGACGGGCTCACCTGTGTTGATATCTTCCTCACTTGGATGGTTGCTATCGAACTCATCATAGCTGATCGGACTCTTGGCCTAGATTTCAAAAACTCTGTCAGTCCACAGTCTACATCATCAGTATAATACAAGGAGACGGACACATACCCTTTGTGCTAGCTCACCGGGATCACTTGATCCAGAAATTCTTCTCATCTTCCCTTTATCAGGAGCTGCAGGGTTCCAAAAAGGTGTGTGTGATGGTGGGAGATCATCATCACTTACAGAGTTTGATTTGACATTCTCTTGAGGACGGTGTTGGGGTTGAGCTTGTTGGATAGCTTGAGATCCTTGAGGTGCTCGAAAGGCTGGAGTTGCTCGAGGTCGAGGTCGAGGTCGAGTGTGTGGTTGTCGAGATCCTGGGAATAGCGGAGAAGTTTGGGGTACTCGAAAAGCTGGAGTTGCTCGAAGACGGCGTTGGGGTTGAGCTCGTTGGATTGCTTGAGAGCCTTGATATCCTTGAGGTGCTCGAAAGGCCTGAGACATTCGAGGTATCTTGCTTTGAGCTGATTGACTGCTGGCGTATTTTGGCCAATATCAGGATCACGATTAAACAAATTGAACAACCTCAACAAGAGGTATTCAAGTCCTCACCTGAAAGAACCACCAGCAGATGATCGGGGTTCCAAAGAGGTCAATCTATACTCAGCAGCAGCATATCAAAGTGAGATTCTTTGGTCAGTTGTATTAGAAATTGCAAGAATCAACGAGAGAGAGAGAGACTGACCTATTATGAGTCACTTTGGGTTTGGCAGGCCACTCTGGAAGAGGATCAATCACTACTGAAGAGGATTGCGAAATAGCAGGTTTTTTAGAGGATTCGATCACAACATCCGAGTCGTATTCTTCTTCTTTTTCAGATTCATAGCTTGGGGAACGAGCTCTCTCAGAGTACTCATCCGACAAATCAATATCAATGAACTCCTTTTTCTTGCGATTATCGGCCATTTTGGTGAGGTAAAGTGAGGTACAGTAAGAATGAGATTGGATTCGAGTAAAAATGGTAAAGTGGGACAACCCTTTTATGATGTCATAACTCATGACCTGCTACAAACCTGAGGTACGTCATTGAAGCTCTCACACAAGTGAAATGAGTGCTTATCCTTGGTTACCGCTGTGATATATTCATTGCGAAATCAGATCACTGTGCGCATTAAGGGCTCAATAACGTAGCAACAGCTATCAAAAGCCACTGATCATCACTATTTCACAAATACAAAAGCAAAAGCAAAAAAACCAAACGACAAAAGCAAAACACAGAAGTCCAAGCTTAGCAGGACCAGCTGTAGAACTATGATACCATCAATCAAATCACATCAGATGCATCTCAAAAGCATCCTGCCTGTAAAACACCTTCCATTCCTCATACGCGACTCGCGGAAATCTCCCTTCTTGCAAAACTTCAATTGGTAATGGAATGCAGGCTTCTGTTTGACAGTGACAAGTTTCATTACTATCAAAATAAATTATGCTTACTCATAAACTTCCTACTTTTACACATTGAAAAAAAACAATCACATTCTACTCCTCTATACAATTCTTTCTCATTTTCATATGAAAGGAATGAGAAATGAGAAAGAATAAAAAGGTTCCAACTAAAATCCCGCCAAACTTAGCCATAAACCTTTATCAGCACTTCCATTTCCTAAACCAGTTTTAACATCTCCAATACTACTAATCCCCACCACTTCATCCCAAAACTTTTTAGAATGATCACCATAATCGGCACGCATCATTAAAAATGGTCTTAATAATTTGGAATCTATCCTACCTAACATAGATTCAGTTAAATATGATTTTAAAATCGAGGGTTGTACTACAAAAATGTTTCCTAATTCACGAATCATTTCGAAACGATCATTGAGAGCTGGGATATTGAATTTCGCAATTGTATCTTGGTACATTGCTAAATCTCTATAGAATTTCATTTTCCGGGGACATTAATAAGACTTCTGGATGTCTGCAAGGATGTTTGAGGGACAAGTAGACTTACTTTGTCAACATCAGTCCTCCAATCGCACTGACTGGAAACTTCTTGAGATGCTCAAGAAGTAAACTATCAAATGATATTAATTTTGACTGGGTTAGGAAAGGTCCGAATAGTGAAGATGACATGTAAAATGTAGGTTGAAAAAGGCAAAGCTTACCTGTGAAAAATCACTCCCACTTCGGTCAAGAATCCTTCTGCATTCTTACCACTCATAGAGCGAGTGATTGTATCACGAGTGATGTTTAAAAAGTCACTACAAGCCACACAAGGCTCAGTATGAATTCGAGTAAACTCTAGTTCATCATTTTTAGGCTTAAAATCGAGCTTCTTCTGTTTACTCAGACTATGACTTAACCAGAATACAACATCTGATGATGAACCAGAGAATTCGTCAATCAGTGCTCAACAAAACACGAGTGACAATTTGTGTAAAAATTAGTTACTTACTTTCCAAACACTTTTGAGCCAATGAGTTGACTTTTCCTTCAATCCGAACGAGGATATGGTTGTTGAATATTGACATCTCACGCCTGATACTCACACTTGCAGCGGCCAGAGGCACTATCGCAGTCGTCACATACCTCTGCCACAGGTGCATGGCCATATCCGCTGCTTTGATCGCAGTCACTGGTTTGAGGTCTGGTTCAAGCTTAGTGTCGTGGCTGACAAACTGAGCTAAAGAGCTTTCAAGGGCGGTTTCAACATAAGCGTTACAGTAGTTGTCTGCCAAGGTCTTGAGTAATGAGAACACATTCTTTGGACTAGCAAAATACAATTACATCAATTTAATAAGCCTGCCAGAGTAAATCCGACACATATCAAAATTGTTCACGTACACGTCGCTAGATGGTGTTAATTCAATCATGCGGCCAACTGCCTCAGCGTGCCACATCAAGAGCTTTTCAGCGACGTCCAAATTAAGCTCGCCATCACTTTCTTCAAGGGGATTCTCGGCATCAACGTCAATAACGAGTGAGGCATCAGCATCGGCATCTGTGCTGGTAGCTGTCGTAAGCCCGCTCAGTTTGAGTAGTGATTTCAACCCGGTGGCTTGCGCAGGTGCCACCACTGGGGCAGCAGCTCCAGTCGGTGACTGGGATGCAGTGTTGGTTAGCTGGTTTACCATACGATCGAAAAGTGTATTGGTGGGTTTCGCTTTGTTTATCGCCCGCTGTGTGTAACCATATGAATTACTTCTGATGAGCCTCGGGATACTTTCATGATAGTGAAAGACATACGTACATGCCATCGAGCGTATTTCAGTAAATAGCTCGCATAGAGCTCAGTCAAGCTCTTACTCTCACGTTCCAGATAGTGATTATTGTCCAGATGTTGGCTAAATAACTCATCTAGTTGAGTGTCCAACATACTCGATATTGCTGCCACACCAACTCCTCCAGCGACATGATGAGATCCTTTAGACGGCTTGCTTCCACTTCCTTCGCCAGTTACGCCTGGTGGATCATGAGTCACAGCATAACTTTCGAATGAACTCATTCCTACTCCCGAAGCCGAACGAAAAAAGTCGTGAGACTTAAGGTCATTGATCAATTGGGCTGTACTAGAGCGAGCCAAAGCCAGGATGCGAAGGAAAACCAAGGTACTGCTACCCTGCGCTGCATCGATAAGTTTTTCGATGTGGGTTTGAATCACTTGGGCAAATACCCGTTGCAAGAAAACTTGCATCACCACTGCTGGTTGAGGGAAGACCGCTTCGATGATTTGCGCCTCTTGTGATATCTGATGTCGAATGTCGGTGTACAGTTCTGCCAGCTCAGGCTCCGATCTTGGAGCTGGTTTGTTGGGGTCTGCCAAAGCTTCCCACATGGACGTCTCGGTAATACTAGTAGGTGCCTCGACCCGATCACGGGATATGAAGAAGTCGTGTTGATTGACGTAGATTTGAATGCAAGAATGACCACCATTGAAGTCTAAAAGTGTCCGGGCGCAATGCTGATAAAAACAATCGAGTGAAGCCAGATGATTTGATCTCAATACTGGTGTTTCTTACAAATTTGAACGACAGGGAAGAGAAAGAAAATTTCTGGAACTCAACCGCCATTCCTTTGGGTTCCCCTTTTAAATATGCCTTTTCGAATAACCGTAGCATATCCTTCTCGAAGCGCTCAGCATACTTCTCGATTGTCGCCCGAGTTTCCTCGCCACCTTCAACTCCCTCCACGTCCCTCGCCACCGCTAAGAGTCTCCGTATCACCAATGCTACACTTGCTCTTCCCTGCTTCCCCTCTTTTCTAAGCGCTTCAAGCCGCGTCGTATCGCCACGAGCAAATTCATTGTAATAAAGGATTATGTCGTGCGCGTCAGATGCGCGAGCTCGAACCCGATCGATCGATTCCAATTGTTCGCCTATTATCAAATGTTTCGAGGCATGTCTTGATGAGAAACGAAGATGTATAAGATGTGATTCAAACAAAGCAGACCTATTCGAATGGCAGTCTTGCCCACCTCAGTTATCTTGGCGTCCAAGCCCGAAAACTGTCGGCTGACACTCTAACGGTACCAAGACTACGTCAGAAAACAATCAAAACGCGAGGGTTCATGCTGATGGATATGTGAAGGCGAGCTTAACTTCTAGTCCATTTTTGAAGTCATCGATCTTAGCACGATACTGCTTTTCCTTCTGTAGCACTTCCCTTTCAGAAGTCTTAATCTGTTGTGCCACTTGACGTCGTAAAGGAATCAAAGTTTGAACGGCGCCTTCCAAGGTCGCAATGAATGGATCCGGATTGAAAGCTGCAGGAGAGAAGTAGAGGATCGTTTCAACTCTGGCATTTGTCTTGTTTCGGAGGTGAAAAATTTGTGAGGTGTGGTATCAAAGGTACCTTTGCCGCTTTGCTTGTCCTGCTTGATGAGGTCTTCTGTGAGACCTGCAAGTAAGGCAGCCACATTGAAAGAAGGCTGTTCAAATGTGCTAATACTGAGCGAGGGAGCTGCACTTGAGTTACGAGAAGACTCCGGCATTTACTTGATTCGTTTGTAAAATGATGAAATGCAATATCAGATCCAGTTGGTTCACTTTGCTTCTACGATCTTTACATCGATTGATTGAGGACGCAATGATAGATAAGAATAATGATCTCGTAAAGGTGTTCTTCACTCAGATCAATCAACTCAAATGCCAGGAATCTCTCTGGGGATAGATGTCGCGTGGCGTACAGCTCGAACTCGACCTGTGAAACCTCTCAAAGGCTCCAACTTTCTTGTCTCTGAGTCTGTTCATAGGAAGACTCACTGCTATATCCGAAATAAATGATCCAATAGATCATATCAGTATCCAAATCAGTGGTTCTACCAAACTGAGATCCTGGAGCAAACTATGCAGGAGAGTTTCAAAGCTGCACCATGTCTTCCTAACAGTTCTTCTATGTCGATTATAACAAACATTTCCCTCATGCAAAAACAGCTATACTTTTTCCCAGCAAGAATCTCTAGAAAATCTTTCAAACTCAACAGATGATTTTTTCAGACGTGGGATAAAGAACAGGAAAACAAGACACATGAAGGGTAATCATGAGCAAATTCAATACCCCCTTCAGCATCATCATGAGTCTTTTCAAAAGGGAGTTGTCCAAAGAGGAACAAAAGTACAACTGTGTAAGAGATGCTTGTACTTGGATTTTCCAAAATTTTGGAAGACTGTGAGACAATGCCACTTGAGAAGCACATATAGTGTGTTGTGTCAAGACTGTGGTAACCATACTTTTTTGCCCAGAATCTACAGCTGGCTTTTGAGAAACTGAATACAATTCCAAAAGACTTCTTTTTCAACCTGAAAAGATTTCTCAGCCTGATCAAAGACAATTTTTTATATCTTCACTACAGAAATTTATATTCTTCACTGGCTTTTACAGACTCACAGGGTCACAGGTGTGGACCTATGGATTTGGAGTTATCACCGTCTTGATATAAGAAACCATACAAGGTGTTTTTTAACATTCTTGATTTTTACAGTGCTGGAAGGTCAAACTATATAAATTTTTGAGGCCTTTTTGGTCTACTGGAAGCCCCCTCTTCTAATTGTTGGTTATCAGAACAATTGGTTTCTCTGCTGTTCTATGGGACTGGGTGAACACAGCATTGGACAAGCAGTGCAAGGAACAGCTGGAGTGCAGCTGATTAAGCTGCACTGTGAGGCACTTCAGCTCAGCAGCTGCCAGGAACACTTCAGATTTCTGACAATTTTGCAGTGTGATTTCAGCAGTGCTTCTGAAAATGTGTTTTAAAGTTTTTTTCACTGCTTTCCAGGCGCTAGGGTCATCATTCAGTGGTTCAAGTGCTTGGAACAAGGTCTTGCGCCGCAGTGAGGTCAAGGGTGCCCCAATTGTCCATTTGCATGTGCCCACCACTCCCAAATTGGTCAAACAATCCTTCAAAGCCCCTTACTTCATTCAACCACCACCCGAAGAAGTCACTCTTTCATACAAGATGCACCAATAAACATAAAAAAACTAGAAGTGATTGACCTCAACCAAACTAGAGTCAATGACACCAGTTCAACTTGATCACCACCACCCCTTTCACAAGCACCTTGTGTCATGTTATTGCCAAGCCTTGCCAAAAATGCCGCCAAAAGTGACTGACTCATTCATCCAAACAACAAAATCATTACAAGCAAGCTCATTTTTCTTCAACTTCAACATTTCCTCACTCAAAGTTAAACCAATTCTTATTGCAAGTTTAATCATCCTATTATTATCTTTCTTTATACTTTCACAAGTCCAGTGACCCCAGTTATCATCATGCCTCTTCAATCAAAACTGCCATTTTCATCTCAATCACAAACTCCTGGTGGAGGCAATCCCTCATCTATCTGCCCTCAGTGTCACCAGAAACCACCTTCAAACCCCAGAATAATCTCACCCAGCCCAGATATCAGACACAATCATTGATTGACAGCACCCCTTTGAAAACAAGACATCCAGCTGTCATCAAGCTTTGGACAAATTGGGTTCAGAGAGTGTATGTGACAAAACCACAGAGAATAAGAAAAAGGAAAAGAAGGTGGTAAACATGAGACAGAAGACCTGTCAGAAAGGGCATTATAAGCTGCCTCAGAGGCATATCACATTTCTTACAATAAACTCATACATAAAATAAAACCTATATGCAATTAACCAATTACATGCAGTGATGATATAATGAAAACATGTAATACTAAATGACATAAAAATAAACACTTGTAATCATCAATTTCATAAATAGTGCGCAAACTATCTATTTCTATCTTATTTCACATTCAGTTATTCTTTTTCTATTTTTCCTTTTCTATGTGGTATTCAATGAAGCACATCATTTAACAAATATATCACACATGTATCAAATTGGAAGATGATCCTTCATGATTTGTCTGATGTTAATCTTTCTCATAACCATGTGTAGCCTTAGTTCAAGCAACTAAATTGGATTGGGAACCCAAATTGGTAGCTGTTCATCTAAAACAGATCTCCTTGGCATGCGGTGGCTGCCAAGAAAGGATGTCTAGGGTTCATGGGCTAAACGGATAGATTATCATTGAGTGATTCTCAAGGGTGATTCAGGATTATATGGTTACACACGCTAAATTAGTAATCACATCACATCTATCTGTAAAAGATTCTTGGAGATCATCTACGGATCACAAGCTAGTTGTTCATATGATCTGCTCATTACAGCATCCTTGATGCAGTTGTTTCACACTGGCTGTGCACTTTATTCTGTTGTTCTGACAGGTATAAATCCCTTAATCTTGTCTTGATTTTTATTCATCATCCTTTTACAATAACAATCAAGCTTACATAGCTTCAACAACCAATCAAACCATCCATATCGACCTTCAAAAGCGCTTATAAGTCTCTGTTAAGCCCGTTTACAGTTGGTAGCCATGGATTTGCAGTCTTTCTGCTATTTCTCCCTCTGATTACTATTGTCAAGCACTGTCTTGCATATGTAAAACATATGTAATTAACCTGTAACAGTTATATATCAACTATTACATGATTGTTTCCTTGCTCAATAAGCTTCCTTGTTGACAAGACCACCAAGCAAAATCAAGTCAGACTATGCTGCATCTCTTATTCTAGTCATTGGTTTCAAGTTAAAACCTTTGACATATGGCTATTTTGTTCAACAGACTACAGATAGGAACCAATTCAACTTTTCTTACAAAAGAGACACCATGTGCTGATTTGGAAATTAAAAACAACAAAGTCCAACAATGAGCCAATAAATCAGACAATCAGGCCCTGCTCAACTACTTTGGGGTACCAGTTTGCAAACTGAAAGAGTTTTCCATTGAATCTCTTGTCATATATATCATGACTTGACACATTTGAGTGATCATATGTATATTTCTTTTTTATGTCTTTTATTTGCAGTATCCAGGTCTGCACCCACTCTCCTATTCATGTCTTTGGTGTTTGACTGACATGAAGAACCCAAATATTGTTTGGGTTGGCATCAGTGACTTGACAAACAACCTCAAGTGTTGCCACAATGATAATCCAGTGCTTGCTTGGTTGGTCTCAGAATGGATGTCCCGGTCAAAATGAAGCTGGCAATCAGGTCTGAAAGTGTGTCCGTTGTTGGCAGAGGTGGTACACCAGCCAGAGGTTGCCAAGAGGAATCAACCTGTGACTTTGTCATCCTTTGTCACTGTAGGACAAAGGGTGAAATTTGATAATTTGACGTTCAAGCAAATGATATGTGTTTGAATTCTCTGCAAAGCCCTTCCATGGTCTTGGGTAAATGACATATAGCTACAAGCTGTGGTGCAGTTTCTATGCCCTAATGCACAGTGGTAGAGTCAAAGTTGGGCTGCAGAAGAGGTAAAAAAATTGAACCTTTCAATTTGACAGATTACCCCAAGCTCGCGACGGTACATCTAAGTTCCATCGCGGGGGGGGTAGGGTAGCACAAGAAAGGACAGGGCCTCGGCGGTCCCAACCTATGGTCCGGGAGCCTGGGAGTCCTATTAGTCTCACTAGCAGGCAAAGGGAAAAAATTTACCACACTGTTGGAAAAAAATTTCCTCACTGCTCCTCACTCTGCCCTAGTCACCCTTTCTGAAGCTCCCTTCCTATCTCTCTATAATCTAGATCTTCTCTAGCTTCATAGAGTAGTTTTTTGTCACCCACCCTCCATCCCGGGGAAGAGAAGCCCTTCAACGGGTTCCTTGTTCTCAGCCCGGCGGGGCGGGTTTTACCTGCCCCTCCGGGACCTACCCCCACACCACCCCAGTAGGACTTAATCCTCTTAGAGCATCCACACTGGTTTGCGGTTGTTAACTTGATCACGCACGGTAACAAACCCTACTTTAAGTAAAAAATTACTTAACTCGACTAAATTCCCCACTCGTTTGCATTAGCAGTGCTGTAACTGTTACAACTTTACAGATAATGCATGTGCTCCACACGGGTCATGCAGTAAGGTAACATTTTGATTTTTCAAGTACTAATCACCTGCTTTCATCACAAGTGTTAATATGATAGAGCCACTGTCCGCTTCTTTGGAGGACTGAAGTTGCTTTCACATTCTCCATCTACATAGATCCAATACTTGTTCATCTACCTGATCAGCAATTTTGATTTAAAAGGACAAAGTCAACATGACTTTGTTCAGCAACTCAATTGATCAATTCAAGTTCAAAAACCAAACGCTTGACTACATTGATCAAGCCTTTAATGAGTCTGAATACATGCAATTATGATCTTGTGAAAATATTAAAGATTCAAAGTTAAAAAAGAAAAATCGACGATCTGAACGATCTGAACAAATCCAAACTTTTCTTAATGATTTGTATCACTTGATCTTGAAAGTCCCCCATGATTAGTCTTTGAATGTTGATTTTCTTTCATTTGAACTGTACATGCTATATGAATGTTGACATTCTACATATTCATCTGATTGGTATGAAGTCAAGTTGAATATATCTGATCGAGCTATTTTAATTAAAAAACACCAAAAATTGAAGATTGAAACAACATGAATCAGCATTGATTGTTCTTGATTTAGTTCATGTGACTGTGAGGCTTGGATTTCATCGTGTGTGGAAGGTGAATGTGGAAGGTGAAAAGGAGGTGTGGGTTGACTTTGGTGTTGGAGGTCGGGTTGAGTCTCGTTTTTGGAGTCGAAGTTGCTGTCAGCTAGTCGCGATGTGTGTTAAGTCACACGTTTCTGAGCGGCTCCGAAAACCGTTATCGCGCGGTGCGATTTACCCCCTGGTGTAACTACCGCGGGGCTAATTTTCCACCGGTGTGGAAAAGACCCCGCGGTTGCGTTAAATTTAACCTTACCGCACCCGATTTACCGCACGAGTGCGGATGCTCTTACTGTTGTGGTTACAAGGGACCTTTAGATAGGTTGCCTTCCTCGTAACACAACAACATAGCCACACATAAGGCTAGTTTTCACCATACTACGTCTACATAAAAGACGTAGGACAGCTTCCGTCTAAATATAAGACGGAAGCTTGTCATGTCCCCCATAGGTTACATAACCTACCCCCCTAGAGATGGATGAGAAATTTGTTTTCACAGAGCTGAGGGTAAGTTCTGCAATCATTTATATATCATTGGTTTGAATATTCTGATCACTCACCATATGTATACCACAGAACTTGTCATGCAAGTTTTGCCTGACACAAGATGTGTGGACAACCAAAGGTAATTTCCACAGGTTTATTGGTGGTGTGGTCACCTTTATATCAACAATAACTGGGAATCCAAAACTTGTCACCTCACCCTGAAGCTTGTGGCTTGGCAACACAAAGGTAAATGCAAACTTAACAAAGTCCAATTGTGCCTCGGATTTTTTTACAACTAGTTGTCGCCGAGGCACGAGGGACTTACACGCTTGGTTCGATTTTTGGCGTGGTGAGTTTTCAAATCTAGTAGAGGAAACCTATGATCTTGTTTTTCTGGAAACCAGCAGAGCCTTCAAGGGAGAGCAGGAATTCAGGAAACGGAGTTTGCACTTCCTTTCCCTATCAAGTCAAAGGGAGTTGAGGAGTAAGAATGTTGAGCGAGGCAGATGACAGGTTCTGGGGAAATGGCCCCATAATTCAGAAACCCAATACTATTACCGTTGGTCAGAAGGGGTGAAGTCAGGTGGGTGTGCAAACTCAAGAAACGAGATCCGGATCCTCGCGAGGCAGCCTCTTCACCTGCTGCATCTATGAGGTCCATCCATGATGGTCAAGCCATATCGTTGAACATGCAATGTGTGAATCATATGCTTTTGGGACTTCACGATGCAAGGAAAATAAAGGGCCATGTATATCGCACGGTTGATATATCGCTTAGAAATCATTGATTCGCTTCTTCAGTCTCGAACCTCACCAATACACGGAATAGGGCTGTAATTCATAGTCATCCTCATACATCGGGATCAGAAGGTATCATTCTGATGACAAGTCAAGCGGGCTTGAAGGTCCACTCTGAGCAAAAGATCGAAGGTTTGGGCCATTGTCGTTACATTACAACCAACTGAAACTTTGCATCTTTTGAACAGCCTTTGAGTCTTATGTAGGATGGTAAATACCCTTGAGGCTGTTATCAAACGATTCGCGAGAAACTCTAGTTCTTCCTTCGGAAAGAGCAACCTAAGCAAGTTTAGAAAGTCATCATCAGTTTAAATTTTGCGACAAGCCCGTTGATTGAAATTGATGGACCTTCTGTCAGACGAGCCTTTCCACCCGTAGGTTGGCAAAGGACGGTAGCGCAAGATCCGCAAAGAACTACAGTTTGGGCGTGGGAGAAGACGGTTGTGATGTTGAAGCAACCTATGAAGGACAAATATACAAATGAGCACCAATCTGAAATGATTCCAAGTTTGAATATCGGGGTACGAACCTGGACATTTAACATCCATGAAGTATGAGTTGGGGCTTTGTACAAGCCTTTTGAGCTTGTGCTTGCGACGCTCTTGCTCAGCTGAAGGGTTCAAAAGGTCGATGGCGAGGGTCTATAGGATTAAATCGAAAGAAAAGCATTCCCGATCAATATCGATGTCTTCCTGAGTGTGCTTAAGTCGTTGGTTGACATCATCTGAAAGATTTTCTTGAGATGAGGCCTGATGGCGTGGATTTCGATATTTCGATGGACCGAGTTGATGTGAATAGAATCAGAATGAGATGAACTCACCATCTTGAAGTGCGGTTGGTCGTAGTCGAAGGGAGCGGGCGAACGAGAATCAAATGATGAGTTTGAGGGGGCTGGCTAGGGGAAATAGGTCAACGAGGGGCGGTAGTATCACTGGGTGTGATTAGATTTCTGACCCGGGGCCAAGACCAGCCCTAATGCGCAGCATACTCAGAAGCGCAGCATGACTATTGTCCTGCATGACGAATGGCATGGTGACTTCAGCGACTGTCGATTTCACGACGCTTGGAACATCAAAGCTCATCGAGAAATCATAGCACCACTGTTTCAGGAAGGCTCAATTTCCATTCGAAGATCGGAAAGCGAAGGTAACCTATGTATCAGTCATTTGGACTTGGTCCTCATTCCTCAAGTTCGAGTCCTGAACTTTCAATTCTGAAGTGCTGGTGCTCTGTTGTAAAGAAGATTTTTATCACGTCAAACAGATTCCCTCTCGCGACTTGAGCGTCAAGAATCAAGACGTCAGCAGTTGAGCTTGACCCGCAGAAATCAGCTCCCTCCTTAAATGAGTCTCTCTTGAAGATGCTTGAGATGGCTTTCCTCCGGATCTGACCTCAAGGCTTCCACACCTCGTGAACAATCCAACGCTGTTCCTATGCCTGTGCCTATGCCTGTCAAGCCGGCGCAGGAGGTATTGTAAGGAAAATACATTGGTGGCCAACGGTCCATTGTGAACTTCTTTTGACAGACTTGAGTGATATGATAAATGTGAATCACGCCCTCAGTCCTTTGTTTTGGGGATGTTTCTGGGGTTGAAGATAGATAGTGGAGTGTGGTGTTTGATTGCTGCACATATTGTAATCACAGACGAGCCCGCTGCATGTTTTGGCAATGGCTGAATATGGCCGAGGTCTCGATGGGTCCAGAGGAGTTGCCGTGGTTGTGTGTTTTCATCGGTCAGGTTTGGTATTTGGGAAGGGTAAGATGTGTTGGGTTGATGACCTTGCTGAAGGGGACGTGTGCTTCGAGATAGGCAGGAGATACGAGGAGATACTCATGAAAGCTCCAATGGCCGTTTGTTTGTGCGCGCAGAGGTATAATGACTTTTGCTGGTGATCCTAATGCGATATAGCAGGATATGGCATATCTATTCCATCAACCCAGTTGGGACTCGGAGGGATAATCGGGCGGCGCTCATCCGACTGCGAGGGTAGTGATGAGACAGTGTGGAACCTCGAGGCACTCCAGGCTACTGGATTGGTCAGAACTTCGTACGATCTCGCGACTTTGATCAGAATGACCAAAGTATATCATGTAATCTTTCCTACAGATCTTGCGAGGTCGTCATGAGATTCGGTTGACAGACAATCTCATCTGCTTCTAACAATAAGAAGAGTCCTATCAATGTATCCTATCTTTTGAAGCAAAAGCATATATACATAGTCTATGCTTCATTATTACCTGATTTGATCTTCATCATCGTGAACCAAAAGTAAATTTCAATTTTTTATTTGTTCTCTCTTCTTCGTACAGAATACCATTTTCGGATGCTTGATGGAAGAATTTCTTTTTTTGACATAAGTATGTGAGCGTTGATTGAACTTCGACTTGATAATCTTTCCCTACATGAGCCTTTCATCGAAAAAGAAAGCCAGACCACATTCTTTGAGAGTGATCCAATCAACAACTTGTCAAGAAAAACACTATTTCCCTTCCTTCGTTTATTTGTCCTTCTACAATCATACTTGAAGCTGTACTGAGTTGACACATCTTCAATGCTTTGCTACTTCCATCACAGATTCATCACATCAATTTATCGTGACTTAGGCCGTCTCCATCCGACAACTGCTAAAGAACGCAGTCGATCAATTCGAAAAAAACCTGGCCTTTTCTCAACATCCGATTCTTAGGCTATCGACACTTGATCATCCGCATAACAATATCTTTATTCCAACCTTCTGACTTTGCTTGGTTGGTGGACCTTTCCACATTTCATTGTACCTGAAGGGCGGGCCGGGACCCATCCATTCGTCAACTCAGTCGCCCAGCTGACCTCATTCGGCACCGGCAGAGTCAGATCTGTAACATCAAGCTGACCAACTAATCATTGAATTTAGCTTCCGGATTCCTTTTTTCTGCCCTTCTCCAAGTTGATATCTGCTTGGCAACACACCCAAAACACTCATATCGGTCAAAGCACTTCAATCGATATCGCAATAGGACAAGCTATATAACTCTCAACGCTTTTCTTCACTGGTCTCCCTCGTTGCCCTTCTTTTCTCTTTCATTTATCTTTTCTTGTCACTTCCAATCTCACTCGCTTTAAAAATCTTATCTTACAGCGGTTGCCACCACTATATTTCCTTCTTTCGAATCTCATCTCTATCTTACTTCTTGTTGCACAATCGACTGTCACTTTTTCCTCTTCTGATTTCCAAAATTAAGCTTTTTGCTTCAATTTCTTGATTTCTTGACTTCACACTCTTCATCTCCACCAATTCCTTTGGCATCTATTCGTCTTGGAATCGAGGACTTACATCATCAATCGCGTATCAGCATCAAAGCAAAATCGAACACATAGGAAGAGAAACTCTTTTCATCTCTTTATAAATCTCTTATTTATTTCCTTCAAATGTCTTCCAATCAACTTTCAAAGATGGCCAACAACAAGAAGACAGGTTTAACGAAGACTATGAGCAGCAATATTCCAAGGGCTAAAATCAACCCGGTCAAAGTGGTCCTGCCACCTGTTGTTCGTCGTCATCCAGCATCACTACTTCCGAAAGATATGCATGATCCCGCTTTGCTCCAGTTGATCCGTCAGCCTGTGTCCCAGGCAATGATCTGTAAGTCTTAGGATGATAACTTTGCATCAAAACTGAATATTCACTTCTGATTATTTCTTCTCCTATGCCTTTCTAGCGTACATTGCCAAAGTTGCTGTGGGAGTGATCCAATGCCAATCAGGTCCTAATGATCCGATGCTTTCCCCGCCATCGACCCCAAATACGAGTGATGATGATGAATCAGATGACGATGAGTATGAAGAAAAGAGGGAACCCAGACATGGCACAATTGCTCAGATTCCAGAACCGGTGCTGCAACAGGAAGTGATTTTGGATTTACCGTCATTGGAGACCTTTATTCAATTAGTTGTAGAAAAATCTCATGTTCAAGCTCCCACATTACTATGCACGATCGTTTATCTTCAAAGATTGAGAGCCAAGTTACCAAGGATCGCCAAAGGTCTGAATTGTACTCGTCATCGAGTCTTTTTGGCTTGCTTGATTGTTGCAGCAAAGTATTTGAATGATTCGAGTCCTAAAAACAAACATTGGTGCGCTCATGCAGCATTGTTTGATGAGATCGAGGTTAACCTAATGGTAGGTCTTTGACAATCTTTCATCCTTCTTTCATTCTACGTCCTCACCCAGAGAAGATCTAATTGAACTGTGTCTTTCTTTCATCTTTCTGGCTGGCGATCTTGCAGGAGAGACAGTTGTTGTACCTTCTGGACTTTGATTTGAACATCGATGAACCAACATTACTCAGGACTTTTGCTCCTTTCCTCCATGTACCCGTCGTCCTTCCTGTCGTTCCCGTTGTTCCTGTCGTTCCTGTCGTTCCTGTCACTCCTACTTCCGTTGCATCATCGTTACCACCATCTCCACCACGGACAGTGAATGTAGTTCATATCAATCCCGAAACGACTCACTCAACGCCTAGGAATAAGAATATGTTCAAGTTCCGAGAAAAGAGTCCAGCTAGGATCCCACTCACTCCATCACCTTCACCTGTTCGACGTGGTAGTGGTACTACTTTGGCTGGAAAGATCATGGGCCACATTGGATCGAAAGTTTCACCAGCCTCTTCAACTACATCTTCGTCCTCAGCATCATCTGATCTGCTGACACCAGATAGCTGTACCACTGATGAAGAAGCGGAATATAAGATCATTCTTACCAATCGACGTCCAAGACAGACTTCGAATAGTACGGCGCATGCATACTCAAAGGGATCACCTGATCTTGCTCAAGTTGCATCAAATCTCACTCTCAAGACTCCACCTGCTAATAATTCACATTCGATTATTCCTTTGATTAAACTTTCATCTGTGGTTAAAGTTTCCAAATCTCATAATTTCCTTTCAAATCTCAGTACTACCTTTGCTGGGTTTAGGAAAGACTCACATTCCTCGAGTCATCGAGGGGGATCATCTCATTAGTTAAACCGTGTTAAAATCATACACTCTATGATTTTCTCCCTTACATCTTTCTTGTTTCTGTCTTGTTGTTGAGAATCGAACACTCGCTTTGAATCTCCATAGTGTTGATTCCTTAATTTATGGCTTTCTCTCTACCTCCAAGCTTTTTAATCGTTTGTCTGATCGGATCAAACCCAATTTCATCTCCCAACTTATCTCCTCTTCTTTGTGGTTGTTTTTGTTGTTGTTTAACGGAAGTCTTATGATGATTTAATTTTTTGATTGCCTTATGCATCCTTTCTGCTTCTCTCCCATGTTTTCCTCATTAATTTCAACGTGTTGTAATGGTCAAATTGTGTTCTTTTGTGTTTGTTATGTTTTTTTGTGTATGAAAGGTCAATTTTATTAAAGAAAAAAAATTGAAGTTTTTGAAGTTTGAAACTAGTGAATGAGACAAACCACTGGGGATTTGACTACACGATCACCCACAGCCTATCTGTTGCAGCGTATAGGAAAGTGGTATGCTTGTCACAAAAGTATTGCGCAAATTAAAACGAGAGGCCCGTTCTCACAATCATCAAACAGATTAAGCATTAAACTTCACTCAGATCCAAGGAGTCTCGCTTTTTAACATTAATTCGGTCACGCTTCATAATGTAAATTCAGGGTCTGTGTTTAACACTGCAAAATGGAAGTCTTTAATATATCAAGTAGCATTTCATCAAGTGAGTGTCATTACCATCGTTTGTTTGTTCTATTTAAGTAAGTTCATCCAATCAATCTATCATCCTCAGTAGAGATCATAATATTCTATCGTCAGTAAACATGAATCAACCAAATCCATCACCTTCTGCATCTGCATCTTCTTCGGCATCTTCATCTTTAAATCAACCTAATCCATCAACCGGTCCATCTGAATTTGTTAAAAAATTATATAATATGCTAGAAGATTCCGATTCAAAAGAGATCGTTTCTTGGTCGACTTCCAAAGATTCATTAATTGTAAAAGATCAAAATTTATTTCAAACTAAAATCTTACCACAACATTTCAAACATTCCAATTTCGCTTCATTTGTCCGTCAATTAAATAAATATGATTTTAGAAAAGTTAAGATCGATCATCATGATCAAAATCAAAACGATACTTCGTTGGTGAGTTTTATAAATTCCTTTAACTCTTTTTCTTAATTTTACCTCCAATTATCTCAACTTACCATTATATTTATTGATATCTTGATTATCGCATTTTAGAGATGGGAATTTCATCATCCTCATTTCAGAGCTGATACTTTAGCCAACCTGGATAATATTAAAAGAAAAACTTCATCCAATAGAAGATCATCTGCGAAAGTAGTGACAACACCACTGGCAGCAACAACAGTAGCACCTGTTCAACCTATCCATCATCATTCGATTGATAAACTTCAATTAGATTTAAAGAATTTGATTGAATTACATCATCAAACTGAACTTGTGGTTCAAGAATTAATTAAATCTAACACTGATTTGACTCATCAACTTTCACAATGTCATCAACTTATCTCTGATCAAGACCTACGTCTTCAACGTTTAGGTAGATAGTTTCTTTTCGATATTTTTGACTTGTGTTCGAATACAAAATCCACTTCCATCATATTCATCAACTCAACGTAACTTTTTGCTTTCATTCAGAAAATCATCAAGATGCGAAAAAGTCTACAATCGCTCAAGATCGAAATGCACGCCAGGATCATGACTTTAAGGTTTTAGAAAGCCCTACTACTATCCTTCAACCTAGTACTACCCAATCTCATCAGTTTTCACAACCCGACCAAGACGAAAGAAATTTCATTCAACTTGATCCACATTCATTGATTCAAAGCTCTTCAATATTATCTTCAAGTTCATCAAACACGTTACCGTCTCACAATTCAATATCTAATTTCCAACTGCCTTCAATCCAAGTGAGTGTTCAATTTCAAACTCAACCCAAGACAAACACAACCTGTTTCCGGAATTGCTTCATTAACACACATCTTTCTAAACCCACTTCAGGAAGCGAAGAAATGGCTTAGTCCTCCAACAGTCTTATTAGTAGAAGATGATCAGATTTATAGATCTTTAAGTGGTAGGATCTTGGAATTTATCGGTTGTAAGATGGTCACTTGTAATGATGGAATCGAAGCTGTTCAAGTCATGGCTCAACAACAATTTGATTTAGTCTTTATGGATATTTATATGCCTTTCATGGATGGTACGTCTGATGATTCCTTTCTACATTATATTTTACAAAGTCAAATGTTTTTTGATTGATTAATATTTTCTTAAATTAGGAATTTTGGCTACTAGTCTGATTAGACAATTTGATTTGTTTACTCCAATTATCTCTATGACCTCTAATTTTACTCCGACTGAAATTAATAAATATTTAGGTATAGGTAGGTTGATTCAAATTCATCTCAGTTTTTGAAAATGGGTGAGTTTATTGAGCCTGTTTTCTCTCTCTCTTTTTTGTCTTTTTTTCAACAGGTATGAATGATTGTTTACCTAAACCATTCACGAAAGAAAAAATGCTGAAGATGTTAGAAGTGAGTCTTTGATTTGTTTTAGAAAGAATGTTTTGCTTTTTCTGGAAATTGAAGTGTTTTTTTTTTGATAGAAACATTTAGTTCATCATTTGGTCGATGAGAAAGTTCAATTAGCTACCAATAAAAGATCATTAAATGAATTCCATGAGTCTTTCTCAATTTTAAATTATAAAGATGATGATCAAGATCATCAACTTCTGAAACGTTCAAAAGTTGTTTGAGTTTCTTTTGTCAAATGCTTCGAATTTGAAGGATAGAGTTGTGGAAGACTTTAAATTATATTGGGATTAGCGGTTTTTGGGAACTTGGTTCTTCATCCATCTCACAAAGGGAATCTGATTAAGAGCTGACTTTTTGGAATGTACAATATTCGTTTTTATTTTATTTGATAGTTGGATACATTTGTAATATAAAATGTATACGTAACCTGAGCTTTTTTCTTTAGCTTGTATCTCTGATAGACAATTATTTTGCTCATATTGAACCCTAAACAGGTAGATGAAAAGTATTTTCATAAGAAATCATCAACAACACATACACACAAGATGATGAGAGTGAAACTCTGGAACAGATGACATGTCAGATTTTGCTTATCAACTGAGAGTTATCGATAATCTAGGGTATGCGATGGGTCAAACGGATGTGAGTGAAACTACAGAACTTGGAAAACCTGCAACGACATGATGTGGTTGCCTACCTTAGCGTGACATCTCTCAAGGAGTCGTGCGTTGTGCTTTGTCCATGAAATTCTTGCCATGATCTGCAACCTGAAAATTGAACTTTGTATTAAGACCTGCCCCTCAGCGCGCATAGTCCGGTTATCGGCGTCGCCTATAGGCTACAGTGCGCCACCGTCCACCTGAAACTTATCACGCAAATCCTTGTGGAAATTCGCACATCCATTTCTCTCCGATCAAACGAACACCTCGAAGTAATCCATTTCTTAACTTACGTCTTTGAGATAAAAAGGAATCCAAGATGATGAATGAATTCAAAAAATTCTCAATAGACCAAAACTTAATCATCTTCTTCATAACTCAAATTCCAATCTTTTTTCAAACTTTATTCTTACATCCAATTTATTTTTTTAAAACTAATTTTTTAAGAAAATTTATTTTATTTCCATTACATCTTTTACTTTTAACATATTTTTTATTTAATTTTAAAAGAAGTTTACCAATCAAAGATTTACCAATCGCACTTCATTTGATAATCTTTTGTTTACGTTCTTTAATTTTTTCTCGAGTCAATCAACCTTATTATCAACTGAATCATAAGACTGGTTTAAAAGTTAATCATGATAATGATTCATTTTTTAAAAGGATTCAATTTGCTTTATCACTCCTCGTTAGGTTTGTTGTTTTCTCACTTCCCTATCATCACAAACCGGCGAGTTTCTATCTGTTTGATATTGATTGTCTTAATACTTTGAATAAATAGTCTACGAGGAATTGGTTGGTCTCATGGGATACCCAAACCAAAGCCAACTGATACTTACTACAAAGATACCATCAAAAGAATTTTAATCTCAGTTTCAATCTTACTATTTTCTTCAATTTCTTTTACTTTTATTGAACATTTTAAACTTTCAAGATACTTTTTAACCATCATCATAGGCTTATCTTCTTGGTCTCAATTAGAACTAACAGGTTCATTCCTTAGGTTCATTTCTTATTCTAATTTCTTTTTTGATTTTCCAATCTATTCTAAAACTTTAAATCAATTTTGGTCAAAACGTTGGCATAGTTTATTAAAAGAAATCTTCATTAAATTATCTTTCTATCAACATTTTGAATCTCGTTGGATATCTTTAATCTGGAGTTTTACTTTATCTGGTTTGATACATGAATTTTCAATGTGGTTTGCTTCTGGTCAATTTGATCCTTATCTTAGAACTACCCTCTTTTTCATTTCTCAAGGTTTTGGTATCCTGTTAGAGAGAAAATTCAATTTGAATGGTACTCTTTGGACGTTTTTTTGGTTAACATTTTGGGGTAGATTTATGGTTGATGCTTGGTATGTCCTTCTGAATCATATACATAGATATTTTCCCTTGTTGGAGGATTCTCAGCATTCATCTTTTATCTCTTGTTTGCTTAGGCTTGAACGAGATTTGGTGGATCGTAGACCAATTGAATATCTGGATCAATTATTTTTTCGACTCATCCTTGAACAACACACAGCACTCGTGTCTTTCTTTGCTTTCGATATCTTGAGACCTCTTATCATCAGACATGGAAGGGAAGGAATTGCATAATATCTCGGATTATCTCCACTACAACTTTGCTGCTTGCCCTCGTTAACTGACTCAATTCAAATCATGTTTGTTGTAACAATTGAAACTAATCCCTCAGATCCACACTCCACAAAAGCTTCTTTTCCACCCAGAAATCAATCTCATCAAGAATCAGTGATTGACTTACAATACACATTCATCAAAAAAAACACGCAAAAGATTTGATGAGATTCTAAAGACTATGGAATTAGGTATGATGAGCATCAGAAAGCATACTTTCAAACCAGATCAATTCTTGTTGAGAGAGCTCTGAGTAAAGATCTTTGCAGTAAAGACTGAATGTATCCAATCCATCGATCTTTTTTCTTCGGACTCGAATTAATTTTATCTAAGATTTTATATTATCAAGTTGTCAAGTATTAAAAGAAAATTCGAAATCCCAAATATTCCTTCCTTGACTTGAAATTTCGATCCAATATGAAAGACTCTCTTCAAAAAGATACTCATCACTTTAGACAACCCATGATCCAATATCCAACTTTAACATTTTGATCATCAAATCCAATACTTTTCACACAAACAGTACTAAAGCCAATCTGATCTTCTTCTATACCGATCAAACTCCCAAACCTTTCCTTCACCAATTTTCGTGCTATCACAAACCGAAATAGGGAAAAAGGGTCATTATCTATCTGGTAGTCTTGATCATATTTAGTGAGCGTAGGATAACTTCATTCACCTTCTTTATCTATCACTTCTGGTACATGAAATACTCTTACATGGATCGGAACAAATGATAATTCCCCAATAAAAGCTAGTTCATAGTCAGAATAATCACAAATTGATCAGTTAATGATTTTGAGGAGTGAAGAGTGTAACCAATAATCCAACACAAACTTTTCAAATGGACTTACAATTCTGTACGGAACCAAGTATGGTCACCGTTCTTGAATTGGGCGAGATACAAGATTGAAATGACTCGGATAAATGAGAATAAATAGGCTGAAGGCTTTCAACATCATCTTCCTCATCTTCCCCATCAAGAGTAATAGCAGAACGAATTCCATCCGAACCCACCACTTGCCATTCAATCATAGCTCCTTTCGGTAACCCATCGACTTCAAGAAATAAAATCGGTATTTGAACGTCATACATCACTCTTGTTTCTTTCCACACCTTCTTAGCAAGAGTAATATGATCATAATTTGTGACAAAACAAATGATTCCTTCAATATAAGTTGTAGAAGGAAAAGTTTCCAAAATTCGACGAAAATGTTGGAGAGAGAGAATAGCTTCTTGAAGAAAAGATTTTGGCAAAGGAAGCGATAGTGATGAAGGTATCAATCCGATTTGACCGGCAACAAAGATCTTTCCACCTGTCTTCATTTTGATAAAGTCATCAGGGAAGATCTCAGCATTTGTCCATGAGGGTTAAACTGGAATTTCAAAAAGACATGATCTGGCTTACTGAAACAGCTTGTGAATAAGGTCCAATGTTGGCAGGTGCCCAATAAGATCGACTTTGAACATGTAATCCAAATCTTTGATCAGATTTATGATCGTCTCTTCTACCCAAAACTTCCATAGTCATTCTTGAACCCGAATAAAGTTGAGTAGCAATACAAGCTCGAGTAGGTGGTAAGATACCAAAATGGCGTTTATAGATTTCATTGACTTGAGTAAAGTCGTCCATGGATCTTAAGAAAAGATTGATATGAGTAAGATCAGTAAATCGAAGTGATTTAGAATCGAGTAAGGCTGTAAGTTTGAAATCGATCATTAGATGAGCTCTAAAAACCCCTTGATGGTTTCTAATAAAACCAAGTCTCAATTACGTTTTCTTTTGACTTACTTGCAAGCGTGTGGAAACAATCAATCACTTCTTCCTCTAGAGATTTATAAGGTGCAGTCGTTTCAGAAAGAAGCCTAGGACCAATAACTGAAGTGATAGACACCCATCCGTTATGCTCAGTGAACCCGGGTTCACTCAACGAAATACACGGAGATTTTGTCTGGTACGGGGATTTTAGGACTGTCTAGAACCGAATCATTAGTGTAAAGATTAAGATGATTTCAAATCAAAGTAGACTTACACAGTCCTCTAGAGTTCGAGCGAGAGTATCAAGGGTAGACTGTGAATGATGATCGAAAATTGGAGGGATGGTAACCGAGGGCTCAAGTCCGATCAACTCTGGCTTTTGTAACAATGCTGCTTTTGGAAGTTTTAGAAAAGCTACTGGGGCCATTGGAGAGCTTTCAGGGTGATCCACTACCTGAGGGTCGATTCTGCCACAAATTTGGTGATCAATACGGAACTGAGTAGAATATAGAATCATAAGATATTTACAGGTTGATTCTTTTTTTGAAGATTGGACAATCGATGGTAAACGTTTCGTATTCGCCGCCTTCACCGCATACATGAACACCGTACCGAGAATTCTGATGAATGAACCTTCAGTCAATCTTTGTGCATCTTGATACATACAAATCCAATAATATCAAATGTTGAAGAGGCCTCACCAAGTCTTCTAATGTATCTTGCATCTCTGCCAATGATTTACCTAAATGCTTTGGTTCTAACCCCACGGAAGCCACCTTGATCAAAATAGATTCAAGACCTGATTGAATCATTTCATTCAATAATTCAGATTGATCTCTTTTCCATAGATAGGCCAATGGAACGAGTCCCAGACGTTGACAACTACAACATTCAAGAGTAAGTTGATTGTACAGGGATCATAATGTTCAAAAGACATAGAAAGGATAAGGTGATCATGACTCACACATGCTCTACTCGGACTCGTTGATAGGTGGATAGGATTGCACCCACGGAAACCGCAGTGACGTCAGGATGTATGCGCTGAAAACAAAATTTTGCAATAAGTTACATAAACTTGATGTTCGTGAGCGTATCAAATCGGAAAGACATACCTTTACTTCAGACAAAAGCTCATACATATCCTCGGTCTCATCACCATTAATACCGAGCATTTCGGATTGATAAGCTCTTGAACCATACTCTGATTTTAATTCGAGAGCAGTACCGGTGATAGTTCTCCGATAAAGTGGAAGATCGAGAGCTTGTGCAATAAGATGAACTCCATCTTGACCGACAGTCTGATAGAGATAAGAGTCGAGCTCATCTAGGGGTTCGTCGTTCAGGTAGGGTGAATCAATTTTCAGAAAAGGTGTGGACATATTCTTTGACTTTAAAGATTTGATTTGCTTACCTACCCTTATTCGGACCAGGTCCAAGAGTAGCTAAGGCGATAAGTTGATGACCGTTTTGAAGACAATGTGAGAGGTTATAACAACTGTCTTTACCACCGCTGAGCAACCCTACGACTTTCAAACCATCTGGATTAACATTTATACTTGACATTCTACAATCTTGCGGAGTTTTATAAATTTGACGCCGCTCAACGGGATTGGCGGAGTGCGTGGTTGATGAACTGTGATGGATGTAAGTATGGATATGGCTATGGGGTATAGTAGGTATAAAGTTGAAACCCATGAAAAAACCACAAGTTGAGTGGAAAGATATTTTTTGAAAATTTCATTTACAAACTACAGTTCAATTTCCAACTCAATCCAAATTGTACTTTATCAACAAAGAACAAAGGACTCAGAGGACAAAGGGTTCAGTCACAGTAAGTTAAAACAAACCATTAACAAACAAAACAAAGCAATCATCAAAGCTTAGAAACTGATTCACTCGATTTTTTCATTTTCCATCGAAGGGATCAAGATGCCAATCCAACAAGATATAGAAGGTCAGTGATCTGATTCTAATTATCAACCATGGATAATTAACTAATTGATATTCTGATTTCGAATTCTATATGCGAAAAAACTTGACACTGAATGGTACGAATCAAATCAGTTTTCAAAACTTGGCTAAAGTCTAATAAATTCAATCAAACTTATCAGACATTTCAATCTGAAATAAAGTCTAAGAACATCAGTCAGTTGGTTTTTTTCATAAACATTCAGACATCGAGCCAATTCAATACCCAGACATTAAAGAACAGATTGATTTTCATAATTATTTGATGGCAGAACTTCAGGACAAACCAACTTCAGAATCTAGCAGCGCGTCCGGAAGTTGTAATAGTTCATCTGACGAAGAAGACGAAGATAGTTCAAGTAGCGAAGACGAGTCTGAACAGAAGAAACCCTTAAACAACCCAGCTAAGACGGCCAAACCTATCGCCATCTCCGATGACGAAAGCTCAAGTAGTGAAGATGACTCGACTGAATCTATCAGCTCGACAGCCAAAGAAGCAAATAAACAAGTTGTGAAGTCTAATCTCAAATCAGACCCAATTTCAATTGACGAGTCCTCTAGCAGTGAATCAGAATCAGACGATAGTGATAGTTCTTCAAGTGAGGATGAAAAAGTCCCTGTAAAACCAGTTGTCAAACCTGTCATTATCTCAGACGAGGGATCATCGTCTTCTACCCTTAAGGACGATATTCCTAAGGGTTCTGCATCAACATCTTTGAAGGCTTCAAACTCGAAACCTCTTAAAACATCTTCTGCCAGCTCAAGTTCCGAAGACTCTGACTCCGACTCCGACTCTGACTCTGATTCCGCTTCGAAAGCCAAGCCATCTACTGTTTCTAAGGTCACTCCAGCTAAAGTTGAAGCCAGCTCAAGTAGTTCAAGCTCAAGCTCTGAAGACTCTGACTCCGACTCCGACTCCGTTTCAAATTCTACTTCGAAAGCCAAGCCATCTACTGTGTCCAAGGTCACTCCAGCTAAAGCCAAAGCCAGCTCAAGTGGTTCAAGTTCTGGAGACTCTGACTCTGACTCTGACTCCGATTCTGATTCTGATTCCGACTCTGATGAAAAACCAAAGAATCCTACTGTCGCAGTCCCAGCTGTGGCCAAAGTACCCTCACCATCCAGCTCTGACTCATCGAGCTCAAGCTCTAGTTCATCTGGAACCGACTCTTCAGGATCTGACTCTGATTCTGACTCCGACTCCGAAGTGAAATCTCCCAAGAAGAAACCTACTCAAGTGACTACTATCACAGCCAAGAATCTCAAGTCCGTCTCAGATTCTGAGAGTAGTGAATCAGATTCAGAAACCTCCTCGGGGGCCAGCAAAGAGAAACCAACGGCCAAAACATCTAAATCATCTTCCGAAAGCTCCACTTCCTCATCCGAAGATGAAGATAGTTCAGAAGATGAAAAACCCACGAATTCAGGAAAAACCACACCAAATCCAATCAAACGAAAAGCAGAATCACCAGTCGTAGAAGAAGATTCAAAAGATAAACGAGTTAAACTCAATCAAACACCTCTATCAGCACCTCAAACTCCTAATGTGTCTTCTTCTAATCATCAATCCAATCAAGCAGAAAATTGGAGTCAATCTAAAGAGAAAAAATCAAATGCTCCATTCAGAAGAATCAAAGCTGAAGAAATTCAACTTGATCAAAGAGTAGCTGATAATAGTTTCTTAGCAAAGGTAAGTTTTACCTTCTATCAGAGATCTTTGGTTAGATATCATTAACATAATTCTCCTCTTTCGAAATGTAGGGCGGAGCTCAAGGGTCTTATGGCCATAAGGCGCATATGGATTTAATCGTAACTCGTGGTAAAGCTTTTACAGTTAAGTGTTTATGAACCTCAGTTCACTTTTACTTCTTTTTTTGTTATCAGACTCACTGATTATATCTAAATTTCCTTATCAATTTTTTTTCATTTTCTTCTCATGTTTTTCAAATGAGACAGAAAGAAAAAAATAAGAAAAAACGAGGTAGTTATCGTGGTGGGATCATTGATACGACTAGTCATTCGATCAAGTTTGATTGATTTGATGATGAAAGGGTACTTCGAGCGTTTTTTTTGTCATTGGTTTTGTTCTATGGTCTGGTTTGATCTCTTTGTGGTCTCTTGAAATCAATTGTCTGCTTGTTTTCTTTTCTTGTCTTTATCATATCTGAATCCAACATGGATGCTGTGAGTTACAAACAAAGATAATATCTTGATGATCAAGGAATGGGATATATGCTTCAAATTTTATTTCAAAAACGGGAATCTTTGCATGATGTGATGTCATTGAAGTCAAAGTTAAGAACATAGATGCTCACGAGAGAACACACACACAAAATGTTAATCATATTCCTCTCGCTTACAAAACCAATTCTTTTTTTTACAAAACTTGATCAATACCAAAAACAAAAAAACAAAACATCTTACAAAACCAAAAAAATCCTTTTTTTCAATCTAAATGTATCAAAAAATCAACTTTTTACATATTTACAATAATACAAATGATTTTAGTTTATGTTTTCTAATCAAAGAATCAAATACAAATATTCAAACAAATTAAAAGTTGCACCAAAAAAAAATGATAATATAAAAACAACAAATCGATTTTGTTTTGAAAAAGAAACCTTTTTTTTCTTCAACAAAAGAAAACTGATATAACTACCCTGGGCCTCACCCGCCAGAAAAAAAAACCCAAAAATTTGCTTTCTTTTGACTTTTCTGATACATTTTCTTCTTACAACCAAAACCCCTTAATGATTTACCTTTTGACCTTTCCCCTTTGATTTCAATCGACCAAATCATTCATTGAATTGGATTTAATTTTCAAATTACTAATCAATTTAAGAAATCTCAATCACGATCTTCTTGTAAAACTTCACCATTTCTAAACCTTTCAGTTTCATAAATTTGATAATTCAATTCATCCCAATACTCTAGCTCAGAAGTAGGTAAGACGATCTTTCGACTTAGAATCAAACTAATCAATGCAAAGATTGAAGTGAATCTAAAGAACCAAAGTACTTCAGTTGGTTTTTGAATGTCTATTGACAAATTGATGGGTTCATTGGTTTCTTCGGTCGGATTGGTTAGTAAATAAACTATATTGAACATCATGGATGTGATGATAGAGATCTGTTCAAAAGAAGAAACCTTCAATCAGGAAATGTGAATACAGAAGAAAGAAGATCAAAAGACAAAAGCTCACCAGAAAATGAGGAGCAACAGTAGATAATTGATGTATAGCTAAAATACTACCACCCGTTTTAGTCGCAATTGAATAATTAGTTTTGATCAAATTCAATGGTATTTCATTCAATGGATTATTAATCAATTGACTTCTTTCATTGATCCTTCTATTTTCGATTTTATGTGATACGTTTGATGGTGGTGTGTTTGCGATTCTTCTAGTACCTGATGGTGATGAGATTGGGGTTTGATTGAATTGATTGACGGGTGGGGTTTCTTCTATTGATCTTGTGTATTCCATTAATAATGCAAATGGGACCCATTGTGTGATCTAGTCAATAACAAAAACGGAATAAAACATGTTAGGTTAAAGATCTTCTGACTATTGAGAATGTAAAGGGATTCAAATGACTTACAGACCAAGAAAACCCAAGCAAGATTATCAATCTACTTGCACCACTCGAACTTTCAATTCCAAATGTAAAACCCATCAAAACCAAATACACCACAAAACTAAAACTCCATAAATTTCTAGGAGTTAAAAACCTCAACATCCTTCTATACGTTGTCCAACGTTTACCACGTTGATGGATCACATAATCAGTGGTACCAAACTTACAAAGAAATGGCAAAAGAAAACTAAAGATTAATGAAATCAAACTGAATTTTAACATGGTAATAGTACCTTGTCTTTCTGAATAACGTATTAAACTTTCGGTTAGGTTGGTACCTGTTGAACTCAATTCATATAAAATAAAATTAGAAATTAATGACTTTGAATGATATAAGATTGTGATCCAACATATCGAATTGAAAACTTGTACATAACAAACTCTTTTGATTGGGATTGGTAAAGTGTTTAAAAAGGTTTTATAAAATTCCAATAAGTCTTTAAAACTCGGTAAATTAGAAGAAGTACTGTTAAGTCTTGATGATGATGGTTTTGAAGTGATGGGATGTTCGATCTGAGTTGTACAAATCAAACTTGAAGTGATAATCAATAAAAGAATACTATAACCAACCAATTCACGTAATAGTTGAGGTTCTTCAGGTCCATGATTCGAATTGGAAAAAGTAGCAATCCCAAAGCCAATCAATTGACCTAAAAGTAACATTCTAGAACTCCAAACATTAATCGAATTTTGATGATAAGACGAAATTTGATCAAGGATAAGTGATCTAGTCGAAAGAATCAAACAATCAAGTGAAAAGAAAGAAAAATAAAACGAAACGATCGCAATGAGAATCGAATTAGAATGAATATTAATGTTCTTCTTGGGATCCCAATCACCTTGATCACCTCCAATTAAATAATTCATAAAAATACCTAATGGTGTACAAAATGATAAAGAAATCAATGAGATTAATAAAATTAAAGTTGAAATAACGATCCAAGTACGTCTTCTGTGTAAACTTTTCGAATTCAAATCTGATATTATTCCAATTAAAGGTGGAATGATCAAACCACTAATCGGACTTGATAACCAAAGCCAAGTTGTTGAATAAGTTGAAAGATCAAGTTTGAGTATAAAAGGCATGCCATAATAAATTAAGATCGTCCAAACCAAATTACAAGATAATAAATTCAGTGTGAGTGATAAGAATTGGATTCTAGATAATTTGGGATCTGTTGTTTGATCATCAGTATCTTGATCGGTTGGGTTTTCATGATGTGTTCGATCGTAAACATCATGTCTTCCTTCTTCTTGATCAGAATTATAGATGGTATGATTAGGTTGTGTGTGATAATGTTGATGATAATTTGATCTTGGACTTGAAAGACCTGGTACAAGAGAAGTGAAAAAATCGATTGCGCCACTAACTCTACGAGTCACAGTAGCTTGTTCAAGAGGATCGTTTGTTGAACCGGAGAGACTAGGTTGAGTTGAATTACTAAGAAAGGAAAGTCAGGTAAGATGAAATGTTGTATTAAATTAGATTTGAGATACTAACGTTTGATGATTTGTTAACATGAATAATGAAGCTGAAGTCGATTGATATGATTTATGATTTGGTGAAGTTGAAAGCTGATGCATTGTTTCATATGACGGGAATTGAGTGATCTCATCTGAAGCTCTACTGATATGGAAGGGTGGTCTGTTTGAAGTTGCACTTGAAGCTGATGAGGTTGGATTTGAATTCATCTTGTCGAAGAAGTCTTGATGAAGTTGATGAATGGATGAATGGATGTTCGAAATGCTGAGTTTCTTCAATTCTTCATTTTCTCGAATGCTGAGGCTGAGCTGTGTTCTTCATGTTTTGAATTCTTCCTTCTTCTTTGGTCAATGTCCACTGTCCAGTCTTGATCAGTCTGACTTGTTTCGATTTTAAAAACCCTTTTGTAAATTACTACTCCCCTATCGGGAGAGAGTGTGCGAAGCTCCGACCAATCCAGTAGCCTCGTGGCTCCCCACAGCTCCCCACTGTCTCATCATCACTCTCGCAGTGGGCACTGTGGGATGACTCATGAGCCCCGCCCAGATTGCACGTTGTATCCCACCCCCCAAATGGGTTGATGAAATGAAGTCATTTCTAGAAAAGCTTGCCACAAATTCCCCGCCAATTTGCTCGAGTTTGGCGGGCAACATTGGTCAAGCTTTTGTAAATTGACCGTATAAAAAAGCGGGCACACCCGCACCAGATAAATCAGACCATCACTTATCCCAGCGCCAACGGCAAAGACCAAACCACAGCCAGAGCTTTGTCATTTCACTTTTTTCAAAGAAGATTTTACCAGGCCAGGTAACCGTAAAGGCCTGTCCCACATCCTGACCTCAAGTTTGCCCGAACCATGAACAGAAGGCTTACTATCCTAGTATACACTTGTCATATCTGAAAAATCCAACTCTGGTGGCAAGGCAAGTATGCATTTATTTTCAAATTTTGTTTTGTGACATCCCAGATGTACAAAACAAATCTGCAACCAGTAAGACAAATCAAGCAAAGTTTTGTGGTGTGACAAATAAATGTAAAAGGTGTGGCAATACAAGGGAGCTCAAGCCAGCTGTGCATCACAAGGTAGTATATATCTTCCATGCACAATTCTACCCAAGGCAAGTTGAAGTGGGCAGATCTGATGGGCTTCAGCGTGATGTTGCTGCAAGGGTAATGTTGAATCTCCTGAACAGTTGAGGGATAATCCAAGGGATTAAGTTTGTTGATGCACTATAGCAAGAGAAGGATGAGCCAGGATGGAACTATTGTGACAGGTTGCAGATTTCCAGATTCATACTCTTCTTGCAGAGGTTGCTGCTTTCTTGCTCAGGTCGATCTCAGAATTCAAACCTAGCCCACTCCAAGTAACAATTGAAGTGAGAAGTCAACTGTCCTCAGAAGTTTAACAGTCCCTCTGACTCACTCATCATTTTCATTCTCAACACTCAGGAAATATCATCTTGTTTACTTTTGAGATTTACTCCCAGCAATCCTGCAGTTCCACTCATCAATCCTTCAAAGCCCAGGACAACAGTTTACAAAGTACCCAAACACTCTCAAACATTTGCACCACCTGATTTAGGACCAGAGGTCTATCAATCTCAATACACAACAGATTCTGTGACAATTGTCATTCACAGTAGTTCAAACATCTTTTGCAATCTTTGGATTGCAACAAAGTGAGTTACAACCTTGTTCTGATCCTTTCAATTTTATGTTACAAGAACATGGAAGAGATATGAAGGTTTCAGGGTGTAGGCTGGGTGGAAGCAAACAGAGATGGAGACAAACCAGCAAGACTGAAGACAACAGACAAAGTAGTTGTTCAAACAGTCAAAAAAAATAGAACAATAAAAATAATTGTATACTGGGAGGATGAGTTGGCAGACAAATTCAAGTGTGAATTAGTTTGAAAGAGGCAAATTGGTTGTGAGATTTCAAGAAATGAAGGTGGGTACCACAGGTCATTTTTATAGGTTGGAAATGAACATATACCAAGCGGGATACACATCATTTGGAGTAAGAGCTAGAAAAGCTTATCATCAGAGATTACAACATTCAAAGTAAGAATTCAAAAAGCTCACAATCAAAGATTTCAAGTGACAGGAACAAAAGTGTTGAATGTTGGAAGAATAAAAGGATTGTAATTGTATAATCAAACAAATCAAACACAAACAAGACCAGAGATTGGGAACAAACAGAAGCAAAAAGTGAAAATGAAAAGGTAAGTTGTAAGGCAACACGGGAAAAGTCACTGATTCCTTTCCACAACATGGCAAAAGCGCAGCTGTGGACTAACAAAGACAGTATGATTGTACACATTGGTACTTATCATCCACAGGTGATAAAACCACAGTTGAGAAAAGCACGGTTGTGAACTAAGAAAGAAAAGATAATGTTATCATATTCTAATGTTATTGACTAACAAGGAAAGTGTGATTGCACACATTGGTGCTTACTATCTACAAGAGGAGAAGAGCACACAAATGCACTAACAAAGATAACATGATATTATCACGATATAACTCAAAAATTTATAAAGCATGAAAAGTGACCTGGAGCAAAATGAACCGGAGTCAAGGGGAAGTATTGAATGGTACTTCATGCAAGTTGCTTGTACATTTTAATATGTTAGATACATATTGCATTAGGATCACCAGCAAAAGTCATTCAAACACAAACCCCTGCACACATAAACACAGAAATGGTCTGTCACCTTTGCATTGATGGGCATATCCTTGTATGACCCATGTAGATCAAAACACATGTCCCCATCAGCAAGCTCATGGTAAGTATGATGGTGTAATATTGTATTTGTAAAAGCATGTGGGGCTGTAGTTGTATGATGGTAGGTTGCTGTGGCAAAGGAACAATGGCTGGGCCCAGCTAGAGGAAGGTTGAACAGAGTCAACCACCAAGTCAGAAACTGCGGGGGTAGGTTGTGTGGATTGCAGAGTCTGGTGTCCTTGTTGTGTTGGAAGGAATCAGCTTAAAGTGTGGCAAAGGTTGCCAACTGGCTCAAAGTTGAATTTCATGCAGATTTGGGTAGAATTCCAGTAGTTGTTGCAGCAGGTCCTTAATTCAAGCACTATTTCTGTGAGAATACCTTGAAGGGGGTGCTCAAACACATTGTTTGGGGGCTTTCCTACTTTGAACCACAATAGTTAAAAATTGTGCAGTCACTGTGGAACACCTCATCTATCACATCATCCCAGTCCTTCATTGCTTCACCATCAAATCATCAGCCAAATTCCCTTTTCAAATCCCCCTCCCTCAGCAGGATCATACATCAGCAAGGCTTCAATGGAAAAATCAACGGTTCCAGCCAACTTTCACCAAGTTTTATACAATTTCATTGATCATCTTATTACCAAACACAAAGACAAAGCATCACCATTAAAGCTATGGGGATGGCAAACATTAACAGAATAATCAAACTCAGAACAAAGTTCAAAAGCTATACTTCAAGATACAATTAAAAATCAACATAGGATCATGGAAACTTTAGAAAAAAACAATCAAACATTTGAGTTCAAAGCCAGTCAGTTCCAATGACATCTCCTTCACCACAAATTATTCCATCAAATCAAGGTCATCTAACAAAACAATGGGTAGATCTGAGAAATGAAGGACAAAAGAAATTAAATCTAAATTCAACCTCAATCTTGCTTCCACCCAAACAAGGTGTCAACAAATTCCAGGCGGGCAGATTTGTAATACAAACTTTACCAGGAGTTTCACTGTTAGTGGGTTTATCTCAGGCTGAAATTAGAGACAGAACAAATTCAATACTCCAGAATTTAAACATGAACTTAGATGATAAATCAGTCAGGGTTAAGGGGGTGGTTAGATTAGGCTCCAACAAAACTTTATTCTATACAAGTACCAGGTCAGAGGTTAGATTTTTACTATTACACAAAACACAAGTGGACTCATTTAACAGATACAAACTTGTTTTCTTTGCACAACAACAAATTAGCTCGTTATCTAGGTGCACTGTATACTTTTTCTTATGAGTTGTTGAAAGGTCATCAAAGTATAAGTTGTTGAGAGGTCATGAAGATATAAGTTGTTGAAAGGTCATCAAAGTATAAGTTGTTGAGAGGTTATGAAGATATAAGTTGTTGAAAGGTCATCAAGGTATAGGTTCAAGCAACAGTCAAGACCAGAAAGGAGGGTACAAATTCAAGAAAGTTAGGCCTGGGTGTAAAGATTAACCAGAGGATTGACTATGGATAGAAGCATCAGAGTCGTAAGATGGTTGACTATAGACAGAGGCATCAGAGTCATGAGATTGTTGACTAGGCGTAGCATAGGCATATCCGGAGTTAGGATCAGGATTGAGTTCAAGTCCAAATTCTTCCTTCAATGCGCCTTGAAGAGCCTCAGGATCTATTACCAATCCCCGTCGCTTGATAATACGTTCGGGGTTTGCATTTGAAAGAGTTTGATCAACCGAGCCTGTGATAGAGAAGGGAGAGAGCGTCAGTTTTCTGGAGACCTCTTCGAAGGACAAGATCTATGGTCAATTTCGAATGAAAAAGAGTGTACAAATTACTGACTTTGAGCTCGCAAGCGCATCTTTCCCTTTGTTTTTTCAAGCGCGGTCTTGAGCTTCTCGATCGAATTCAGTGAGTGAGAACCTACAGATGGGTCAGAGTGATCGTATCATTGATATCGGGATTTGCAAATAGTTGAAGTTCAGGATGGTACATACGTAGGACTTTCACAATGGAGTCTAATTTGGGCTCGGTCAAGGTTTCAGAGCGCAATGAGGGTCCAGCTACTGGTGAAGGTTCATCTGGTCCGCAGTTGATAACCAAGAGTTCTTTGCGACTGGATTGGGGTTGAGAAGCTTCTTGAGCGGCTCGAATAGTATGTCGAAGTTTGCCCGATTCATAATCCTTCAAAGTTGCAAAGAATGAATATACCGAACGGACGCGTGTGAAGGATAGTAAGAAAAAGATGAGATAGATAAAGAGACATACCAATCCATCCTTGTCGTAATCATCTGGACACATTCTTCTGATCTTGGTTCGGCAGGGGACTGTAGGCTTTGGAGGAGGTGCAGAGAGGCTGTCGTCTAGGTGGATGACCAACGGCCTTTGACAGACAGAGTCCGCGCTTTCATCGGGCTCCATAGCACGACGCTCAAGACCTGAGGCATAGCTCTGAAAAAGAGAAAGTAGCGAAAAGAAAAAGAGATGAGGAAAAGTGAGAGTAGAAAAGGGATTGAAACATGATACGATCACTCACCACATAGTCATCGTTGAAATCGCCAGTGAAAACTTCTCTTTCATTTCCCAAGAATGTATGTAAGGTATATCTAGGTCCGTAGGTCATTTTGATGCTGTAGATCAAACTCAGTTAATCAGGGGGATGTGATCAAAAGAAGAGGATGAGATTCTACGTCGCGAGATTGGGAACGTGATGAGGTCAGAGGTAGAGTGAAAGGGACTGTACAAGGTAAGTATAACATATGTGTACTCCTTAGATGATGAGGAACCCGCGCCGAGGATCCGGGATCCTAAGCACAAATATGCATAATCAGCAGCGACAAACTCGAGATATGCATATCACGGTTGACCTGATCTTTTGGCTATTTTGCACGCGTCTTCCTTTCAATACACGGTTTTGTGTGCGTTAGAATCAAGCGTACCCTCAGAGTATGATCCCATCTGGTCCGCAATTGAATTCACTTTGCACAGGTTGTCGAGAAACAAATCAAACAACATTATATAGCATCCTAAGAAGCTTTGGTGAGTTTATAATCCTATCTAGGTGATTTATTAGTGTGTCCATTCTCATAGCTTTCGCATTGAGGAATGAACGAATGAGCTTCATTTGTTGAGATAGTCTCAAATCACTTCAGACATCATAACTTTACAGTAGAAACTGTTTTCTCGTCGCTCAGTGAAGGAGTGTATTCATTCTCATAGCGTTCGCATTGAGGAATCAACATCGTTTCTTTAGACTCTCTCAAATCACCTCATGCATGACCACTTCATAATGGAAACTGTCCTCTCATGTCTTAGGGAAGGTCTCAGATTTTAGCGGCACCGGCCAAGATTATCAGTGCTGTTATACATGTGCACATCTCTACAGGTCTCTATCAGGTCTTCACCTGCTTGGTCAATGTACCAGTTTATCTAGATTTTTAGTCGTTCTAGCTTCAAGACCCAGGAAGCAAGCTCTTCGAATACTAGGGCTTCACAACGTTGTATTTTCCAGTCTTCCATTTAATGGAGTAATAATGGGTGTCCAATCTTAAAGCTGGTGGCATCTGGCGTGAATACATAAACATCATATTGTATTTACAAAGAGTTGGGACTTTGGCTGGCTGGCCTGTGCGGATTGATCTGACTATCTTGACTTAAATGATGATTTATTACAAAAGGCTAAGGCGACCATTGAAGTCTAAGACGAACGAGTAGAGCAAGCAATCCGTCATCTTTCAACAAACATTCATCAAGTTTGCTCAAGTTAAGGATCCATGGGTAAAGACTCTTCCGATACACAATAGACTCAACAATGATCATAAGGATCGGGTTACAAGTCGTCAAACTACTATCTTATCCAATGGAACGATGCTTGAGACTTTTCATATCCCTGAAGATCAGAAGCTGGCTGCTTCAACAGGTCGCGCAAGTAAAAGTAAAACCCGACATTTTGGCGAGTCTCTTTCCCTTGTGGATAATTCAAATCATCTGACTGACATTGGATATGATCAAAGCCTGCCTCAAGTAGACGATTTTCCTAGCACATGAACAACACGTAATGGTCTCTTTATATCACCAATAACCCGGGTTCATGCTTAGCGAAATATCTAAAAATCTCAACAAAATTCCATGAACTCCAAAAGCTTCGCTGTCTCTAGGTCAAATCCCCATAACAATCGTACAGATTTGTTGGTCAAAGTTCCAGTGTCAGCACCACACTTTCCTACTTTTAGTATATCACCATCTCCACGAGCCCCATCAATGGGTCAATTTTGTTACAGAGTCAGATTTGTAGAGAGAAGACTGCTATTTACAAGGAGTACATCACAATCAATTTGGTCATTCACACCATATGGTTCAATGATTGACATGTATATTAGATTATCACATAGGCAAAATAATATATCACAAAACAAATTAAGATCGCCTCAATTATTTCCTCACCACCTGTGATCTTAACGCTACCACCAACCTCTATACTAGACAAGAAGGTAGATCGAAGAAACCATTGGATGGAATTCTGATGCACTTAGGAATCAAGAGCCATAAATCGATAGATGGTGTTAGAGGCACTAATCTAGAATCAATGAATGATAATCTTGAAGTTGATAATGAACCATTAGCATCAATGCCACTCGTATTTTTAGCAAGATAGGAACGTTCATCATCACATCGTAGAAATCCATCCTGTTTATCTTTACCAAGTCTAATAGGACAAACAATTAAAATACACAATTTCACCTGTTTTACAAACTGGTGGTTCTACGTAACCAAATAACAATCCATATTTTCCAACAATTTCAGATAAAAATGATGATACCGAATCGATTGATGGACCAATCGTTCCACAATCACAATTGCCAAACAGACGCTATTCAAAACCAAATCATTATGTACGGTTTGTTGGAAGTACTTCAACTAGATTGCCATTTGAGAGTGATTCTTGATTTACAGAACCTGAAGGATCAGATGAAGATATTCAAGAATTGTTGGGAGTCTAGGATGGGAGATGTAAACATCATGCATAGTTTACAAAAACCTATGTGTGAAACTGTGTCTATACTTTAATCTTATTGCCATTGACGCCAATTGTTTTGTTCTGATCAGCTTGAATCCATTGATGTGAGTAAAGCTCATAGATCAACTGGCTGAGAGCCATGTCGATTGTGGAGGAATGATCGGACGCTTGTTAATGAGGATACGTCTCACTTTGCGCGAAGGTGATGTCAATGAGCACTCTCTTCGTTTACGGTCATCAAGACGTCTTCAGTGATTCCCTACAATCAAGACCATCTTGATGAGAGTTGTCAATAAAACATGGTCATGATTGCGTCTCATCAAACTCAATTTATCAATAGGCCCTGACGAGCGACTTCCTCGAAATGTCATCTAGATTGTCTTGGGATTTCTGGTGTGAGAGCCAGGCATCTGGAAGTTGCGTTCAATTATGAATGGACGGCCAAGGAGATCCTTAATGCGAAGCACAAGCATTCGTCTTATCGCAATGGTCAACAACTCATCGGTCCGAGTCATCCTTTCAATACAAGACTTGACTATTGTTTGACCAGATTATCAAAACAAGACGTTCTTGAATCATGCACCATGAATATCATACCATCGTAGAGTAAAGCAAGTCGGGATATGCATGCCCTCCATTCGCCGCGAATTTGATCGAGTTCTTCCCATCAAATTTGATGGTTCGTCTGTCACTGGCTTTACCAGTTGAGCGGAAAAAGAATGATAACCTTTGGTCACATATTTTTGGTTTCCCGAGCTGAAGAAATTTCGATAGAGTCAAATCGATGACTCACAAAACGAAGCAAATCGAACAAATAGGTAACTATCGGGTGGACGGTGGACATGAGCTCGTTTTCAAGACTTTTGATTTCCCAGGGGCATCCCTGTCATTCTTGAGCCCTGGATGAATCTCCTGACAATACAGATACTAATATTTCAGCATATTGTCTGGCTGGGCATGAAACCCTACGAAAGACCCATGAGACACGACTCACAACTTCAACATCTGATGTCAAAATGCTCAATGGTTTCCAATGCTGAAGGCTTTGTTGTACTCTTCAGTAAACAGGTTCGTGTTTTTTCTCTTGAGACATTTGTTATGCACACCAGGCTGCATTGTTATGGGCTACATATATGGGAATGGATATTATTCACTTGATTCATCATTCAACGCATGTATTCATTTGAAAAGCTCACGCCAGATGACAAAATCACAAGGTCAATTGTAAGCACTGATCAGAGGTGTAGTCTCATTCTGACCGGAAGACCACCACTAGAAGCTCAGAGTCACAAAGTAGGTGATTGACATTTTAAAGGTACAAAAATAAGTAAGAGAATTTACACTAACCTTCAATCTTAAGCCTCTGCAGCGGGTGTGCCCGCCTCTGCTCTAGTAGTTTGTCTATTTATAACTATTTGCGCGATCAGAGATGGTGAAGACTTGCAGACGCACCCTTTGTTGAAAAGGGTGAATTGACAGGAATTAACGCTGAGCTTTGATCGGATCGGATCGGATCGGATTTTTACAAAGTTCCTGGGGTGTTGTTGCCAAGTTGAGATTGAAACAAGAACACTTTACCAAAACACCAAGACCATCAACATCACCATCAACCACTTTATCAAGATGTCAATTCCATCATCATCCTCATCCTCATCAAACAATCATATCACCAATCATCACATCGATCAAGCTACAACTACTCAAACAACCATCACACCCGCTTCGTTATCTGAAATCATTCCATCTGACATTCCAACTGGTCATGTCGCCTTTCATCTCGGTCCTACCACTCAAACAAAAGTCGTCACTACTACTACGATCACCACTCTTAACTTTCCTCCTGTTCTTCTCCCTAGACCAATGACTCCTCCAATCTTACCCGAATCTGAAGCTCATAGTCATAGAGGATGGTCTGGTCGAGCAAGATGGCCAATCAATCAACATCCAAATTCAAATTTCAATCATGACCTCCGACTCGATCCAAAGCTATATCCTCTAACAAAAGCTCAAATGCCATCAGATTGGTCAGGTCCTGGTTTACCTGTTCCACTTCGCGATGGCTCTTTTGCTAGATTCGATGCTGGACAACCTTTCCGATCCGATTCTAGCTCCATCAAAGGCAAAGGGATGGAATTTCTCACCACTGACCCATCGCCTCCTTCGCTTGATCCTCGAAGACCTACATCAGAATTCTCATCGCGTAAACGCGTCTCTCTCTCTCATCCTGCTCGACGTTCGAAAATTGTTCCATCCCCATCGATAACACTACCACCTAGGAAAAAAGTCAGATTACATACATCTCAAGATGATGATCACCCGATGGCAACTTCAGTCCCTGAGAATTCATCCATCTTTTGCTCTGATATCGGTCAAAGCAAGTCTCAAAGCTCTACACATCCCATCTCTGGCCTACCCTCTCCTTTACCAACTGAATTAGATCAAACAGCCACTTCAGACGCGGCTCAAAATCATCCAGATCCATCTAGTCCATCCGATCAAAGCTTTCCTACTCATCCTTTACAAGGTACAAATGCTCAACCTGCACTTTCGACCATCTCTTCCTTACCAAATCTGATGTACGACTTTGGTCAATTGCCACCTCATCTTCAACAATATACACTCTTCAACCTTCTTCGTACTTCATCTGTACCAGTCCTCCAATTTGTTCAAAAACTGGTCGCTCCTGCATTAAAACGTGACTTTATCAATGACTTACCACCTGAACTTGCTGTTCTGGTACTGATCAAACTGGATGGACAATCTCTCTGTCGAGCTTCTCAAGTCAGTAAAACTTGGAATACGGTCATTGACAATAGTTCAGCTATTTGGAGATATAGACTGGTGGCTGAGAAACTTTGGGTTGGGGATGGAAGTGAGGCAACTGATGCGGAAGAATGTAGATTGATCGAACAAGGTGTACCACGCTCACAAGCTTCTCATTTTACCCGTCTTTGGACTGATGGCGCTTGGAGATCCCCAAAATTTAGTCGTCGTTGTCGTCAAGAGGATGGTGGCAGTGGTACAAGACCTATTGGTTTAGCTGGATTTGAAAGTAGTTTTCACTCGCACCCTCAACTCTCACCATCTGAACCCATGCATGTTGATGGACCTATACCAGCTTCACCTGCATCCGAGCCAAGAAGGCCTCCTTCACCCGGGGCTCATTCCGAATCTTCCTCTTGGGCCGCACACAATCAGCCTGTCACAAATCCCCCCGACTTGCTTGCTTCTCCATTGACGCCACCTGAAGTTCGGACCTCATCTAGAATCGGATTGATTCAGCGTGGAAGGCAGTCAAATAAGTACAAGTTATTATATCGTAAAAGGCATTTAACTCGATCTAATTGGAAAAAGAATGAACCACGAAGGATGAATTTCTCTGGACATGGAATCACTGTTGTTACTTGTCTTCAATTTGATTGGGATAAGGTCGTAGCCGCTTCCGATGATAATGTGATTCATTCTTACGACTTAAAGACCGGAAGTAGATTGATGACTTTCACTGGACATCATGGAGGAGTTTGGGCACTTCAGTATGTTGCCAATGTTCTGGTTACTGGAAGTACGGATCGAACAGTTCGAGTTTGGGATATGAATACCGGTCGAAACACTCATGTCTTTGCAGGTCATACCTCAACCGTCAGATGTTTACAAATCGTTGAACCTGTGAATATCAATCCAGATAATGAAGGACCACCGATTTGGGAACCAGCTTTTCCATTGATTGTCACCGGTTCTCGAGATTATACATTAAGGGTATGGAAATTACCATCAGAAGATGATGACGAATATTTACCCGGACCCTTACCTGGTTCACCATGTGCAGATGAGAATGATACGACTCAAATGACCAATCAAAACCCGTTTCATATGTTTTTCTTACAAGGTCATAAACATGCTGTTCGAGCACTCGCTGCAGCTGGTCGAACAGTTGTTTCAGGTTCATATGATTCAACTGTTAGAGTTTGGGATTTGATTACCGGTAAATGTCAACATGAGATGAAAGGACATACATCTAAAGTATATTCAGTAGTTTTAGATCGATTAAGAAACCGATGTGCATCTGGATCAATGGATAATACAGTCAGATTATGGGATCTTACAACAGGTACTACATTATATGTGATGGATGAACATACTTCTTTAGTCGGTTTATTAGGATTCTCTCATACGAAATTAGTCTCAGCAGCAGCAGATTCAACATTAAGGATCTGGAATCCAGAAAATGGAAAATCAGAATACGAATTAAAAGGACATTTAGGAGCGATCACATGTTTTAAACATGATGAACTTCGAGTGATTTCAGGATCAGATGGAACGTTAAAACTTTGGGATTCCAATGATGGTAGTTTTATACGAGATCTTTGTACAGGTTATCATTCGGTTTGGCAAACTAGTTTTGATGATCGGTTTTGTCTTGTGGCTGTACAGAGAGGTAATGAAAGTGAATATGAAGTTTTAGATTTCGGTAGAACTGATGGTAGAACTGATGAAGAGGATGACGAAAGATTGAAAGCTTTATGGTTAGGTGATTTAGGTTTCTTGGTTTTGAACCTTGAGTTTCCTTTTGTTTGTCGATGAGCTGCTGATTCTTTGCTTTTTGATTATTTGATTAGATCAACAAAGAGAAATGGAGAATATTCAGTTAGATGAAGATCATCGGTTCGTTGAAGTTCAATCTAGAGAAGCAGAGGGAGGAGGAGGAGCAGAAGAGATGATGATGGAACAAGAAGAAGATGTTGCGGAGAGATGGAGTAGTGAGAGCGGTAGAGTTGTAGAGAGTAGCTCAGGGGAATCGGTTTGGATGTAATGGTATGTTGAGGTTTTGATTCAAGATCTTTAACTGTTTCGTCGTATAAAGTGACTGATCATATCTTTTATGGGGTTTGATTTTGATCTGTAATGTTGAGCTTAGTTGAAAAGTATAAGAAACTCACTGAGAAATATTCTCAAGATTCACATGTTTAGATTTTCTTTTTTTTTAATTTGTTGTCTGTTTGTGTTTATGTTTTACTTGATAAACTCATTGCTTTTTTCGTATAACCAAAAACTTTATGGATATTCTTTTACTCCCATATTAAAGGTATCATCAAACAAATTATCATTGCTTTCTTTTTGGTTTTGTTTTGTAAGATCTCTTGTGTGTTGTTATTAAGTTTTTTTGTTGTTTTCTAATTTCAAAATCATGGGGTTTTTTGATGCTTTAATTGATTTTTAAAGGGATTAATTGTTTTTTTTGTTTTCTTGTGAAGTGGTTTTTTCTTTCATTATATAAGATGGTTAATTGTTATTTAATTCTTTTGTGCATTATTAATTTAGGTATCTATATACACTAGAAGTAGGCGCTTATCTGGGTCCAATTAGACTTGGGTTGTCAGATGAGGGGAACAAAGAAGTTGGTGATGATGAAGGAGATCAATGTAAATTTTCCCTGCTGTCCCTTTGGGTACCATCCGCCATGAATATGTTGGAGGAGTCACAGCCTCACCGGTTTGAGCTTGAGGAAGAAAAGGGAAGAAATGATATGCAAAACTGGGTTTCAGATACTCAACATACAGCATTATTCACAACAACATTAATTTTGGTCAACCGGTTTCCAAATTAGTCAAGTTTTTTGAAAACACCAAACAGTCAACAAACGAAACCCCAATGAGATTGATAATTTAATCGATCGGAATCAACTTCAACATGCGCTAGAATGGACTATCAACATACTTTTCCCGAAAATGATAATGAGATCGAATCAGCAACTAATTATCAACAGACGATAGAAGAATGGGTGACGGATCTTGCTTCTGAAGGAAGAGAAGATTTGTCATTGGAAATCTCAGCTTTAGCTGCAATCTTTGGTGACCAATCCATTAAGATTTCTTACAAAGAAGATACTAATCTCAACCGAGAGACTGATAGAAATCAAAATCAGAAGTCAGAAGAGTCGATAAGAATATTGGTTTTGAATTCATTTAGTTCAGCAGATCGTTCAACATCTTTAAATGAAGAAATTCGATTTTCAACCAGAGTGATCATACCAAAAGATTATCCAGAAAGATCACCACCTCAATTTCAATTAATTTCAAAGTACATTGGACCATATCTAATCCTACCAGAATTATTTAATCAAATTTCTAAATTATATCAAGATGAAGATGATGATTGGACATCATCTCAATCTATACTATTTGATGCACTTGAATCAATTAAAGAAATCATCATGAATTATTATCATCAAAAATCTAAAGGGTTACAAGAATCAAAAGTAAATCGAGAAGAAATGATATGTAAAAAACATGATGAAGATCATCAGATTAATGAAGTTCTTAATAAAAGAAATTTACCGATTTCGATCGATGATCAATCAACTGAAGTTTTCGAAATCTTTGTTAGTGAACCTATTATGGATCGTAAGAGTATTTTTGTAGGACATTCTACTTTTTTGAAAGATCCAAGACAGGTATGTGTTTCTTGATTTGTTTTTTCAATATTTGAAAAGGAATTCATGAGTTAACGTTTGGGTTTCTTTGGATTAGGTAAAGGCCATTATGAATCAAATCCTTTCAGATAAAAAAGTAGCACGTGCAACGTTAGTCATACTTTGAAAACCCATTCATCAATCAAATTGAAGATGATTTCTAATCTATTGACTTGATTGTTTGCTTTAGTCATAATATGTATGCTTGGAAATGTGAAATAAATGGTCATCTTCATCAAGGTGAACGATTTCTTTTCGGGTCTTTTACGATTTGATCCATTATTCACTAGTTTGAATCTTTTTCTTTCTTTAGATAACGATGATGATGGTGAATCAGCAGCAGGATCAAGAATGCAACATCTTTTGAACATCATGGTATGTATGTGTTTTTTTCTTTTTCTCATGAATGGTTTAGGTTTATGTTTGTAATCAATCATCAAGTTTTTCTGACGAGTTTTTATTTTGGTTTCTTAGGATGTTCAGAATGTGTTAGTTTGTGTGAGTCGTTGGTTTGGAGGAATTCATTTAGGTTCAGATCGATTTAAAGTAAGTTATAATTTCATTTCAGAATATCTAACTTTTTGTCTTTATTCAATCAAGTTTGATGGGTTTTTTGATCATTTTTTTCGTTTAGCATATCAATCAAGCTACTAGAGACGCTTTAATTGTTGGAAACTTTATTAAGTCTTCTACTTTATCGAATGGTGAATCGAAATCAAGATCAAATCATCATCATGATAAGAAAAAACGTTAAAAGATAAAGTCGGTTAGAAAGTTTTAAAATCAAATGTACACAGATTGGTAGAGATTGTGGGATGATTTGCTTGAGTTTGGTAAGGAAACTGTCTCTTGAGTGTTTGCTGTATATGTACTTTCATCATCTCAAAGACATGCATATATCTAGGTAAAACACGCACGTTTCATTGATTTGGATTTGTAAGGTTTTGAGTGATTCGAAGTGATTCGAAGTCTACCCCTATGTATGTATACTCTCGTGTATTTTGAATTGAGGCATACATTAGCGTAGCATTTTCTTTGACTGAGTCACTGGTTGATTTTGAATTACACACTGAAGATGTTCAAGAATTGAAGTTTTCTATACAAGACACTTGGTGAAACTTTAAATCGATTTCATTTCTTAAAATTCTTTTTGTGATTCATGAGTCTTGAAAAAAAGATGTTAAGATCCACTGATAGAATTGAACTGTAAAAGTTGAAAATCAATGGTAAAAGTACATACATCAAGAAAAAAGGACAAATTAAATTAGAGAAACCTATTTATGGAAGTTTTGAAGAGTTGAAGAAAATAATCATTTGTGCTAGAAAAGATACAAAGATTGATGATTTCTTTTAGGTAACTTGAATGAAGATAATCAAGTTTGTAATTCCAACATCGCCTATCTTTGGTCTCATGGAGCTAAAGGTAAGCATAGAAGAAAGGATTGCTAAGTTTTCAAAAGGATTATGTAGTTGATGTGATTTTGATTTTTGATTGAACTGAGATATATGCTTAAAGGTTCTGAGGGTTTGTTGGATATATACATTGGTACTGCATCTGTTTTTTGGAGGGTTGATTTATTTTCGAATTAGATGATGATGAAAATTGAACAAAAGGTTTTCAAAGTGAATCTTATTCACCTTGTATGGGTTGGAACTTCGAAGGTAAACTTAAGGGAAGGAACGAGTTTAAAGCGTTGAAGGCTTTAGAAAGTTCTGATACAAAGATGAAGTAGGAATCAGATTTTGATGAAGAACTGTTTTGATCTCAAGGGAAGTTTGATTATATATATACCCATCTTCCACATTCGAAGGTACCTTTGATTCGGTTTTCTACACTTATTTGAGTTCCATCAACTATGTAAAAAGAATGTGGGTTCCTTGTCCCATTGACACCTTCCGGCGCCGAATACTGTTAAGTAGAAATGTCACGGTGGCGAGGGAGGACTTAGTTAAGTTTGTGTCACGGTAGGCGTTGAGGTTTCGTACATATGGGCTCTGTTGCGCTTGCATTGAGCCTGAGAGCTTGAAGGTTGGGCCTGTCGCACCTCTGGAGTAGGCAAAAGCCGAAAAATGAAAACAAACTAATTTCTACATCTTCGTTCCCGCTGCTTCAATTGCGATAAATCGATCATCTCAAATTGTAGATCAGCTGTAGTTAATCAACCAGATGATCTCTCATTGGGTTCATTGAAAGTTCATGTAATCAAAACTCATAGGTAGCTTGTGGAATTATAGGGTTTTTCACTACTAAAAATCACATGTTGAGGACATTGCATTTTCCACAAGTGAGTTCACGCATGCAATATGGCTAGCTAATTGGGGAATTATTGCGAGACAAAGTGTTACTTGTGAAAGAGTAGAAACGGGTAGGTTTCAAATTCCAACAGAGGAAAGAATGAAGTTTGAAATCAACAAAAAGAGACGAGTAAAGCCAAAGCGCTTTGAAGAAATTGAAACACCTAAATGAGGAAGGCAGCATTTTTACCGAGAAACAGATATAGATTATTTATGAACAGTGAGCTTGGCGGATTGAACCTGGCCGAGCTTCGGGTGCTTGGTCTTGAAGGTGATCACAGTTTCAAGCCGAATCGGAGTTCCAAAAGGATTCACCTTGAGACCTAACACCGCTCCTATCTTAACTTTGAAGAAATTGGGGGTTGATAGATAGACAGGAGCTAGGTTTTGAAGGAATATAATGCATAGATCAGATCAAGTTGATTACAAATCGAACGCGATGAGAGTTTAAGGAGATATCACTAACTATCTATACTTGCGAGACTGATGGGAGCAAATGATTTATAGGCGTAGAGAATTCCAGCAAAATCTGATGAAACAGGTGAAGGGGATTGAGATATTGGTCAAATCTTTCTTTCGAGCATCACGGAAATTTAACCACACACCGTCTCTGTTTGAAACTGTCTTGCTTGTACCGAATATCTGATTATCGACGGTCACTGTCGCACCAGCACCCATCATGTCATATATACTCTTATACTGTCCCGCTTGAAGGTAACTTGCGAGGACGCCTGTGAATTTGTGGATTATATCTCGGTCTTGTTCTGTCAAAATAAAAGGGATTTCATCAATCCCGTCAGTTTAATGAGGACATAATAAAAGCATGGAGGTTCAAAAACAATAATTACGTGTTTGGGTAAACACCGGGGCCAGAATTCCGAAGAGACAGAGAAGGATAGAAAGGAGGTGAAGATTCTGCATGATGAGGTAAGAGAAGAAGTTCTGGGATGAGATGAGGGAGGTATATAAAGATTGTACAGTATAGAGATTGAGAATCGGTTCCGATTGTAATTTATGTTCGCTTCAAGAAAAGTTTTAAAAGTTTTGTTGGAAGGGCTTGAGGTTGCTTGATCCTCCATGAACACACCTGGTTTTATACCCTCAGGATTATATGAGATCTTGATTTTACATATATGCAAACCTATGCAAACCCCGAATTTTGTTCCAATATCAACGGAATCAACGGTATGTAATTATATGGAAAGATTAAATCTTCAAATTCGATGCATTTTTGACATTTGAACTTCACCACGTCATCGAGAGAACATCAGACAAGCAAAAGCAGGCAAAAACTCAAAAACCCTAAACTTATCCAACAAAGCGTGCGAGAAGCAGCGAAGGACTTGGATAGGTTTTACTCAAACAAATAATAATTAAGTACTACGTATGCACCCCAGGGGGTCAATTTCCTCGGCCTCAGTAGGTTCTGGCAACTTGTCCAAGAATTTTGATGGGATCACCCAGGTCCCACAGGTCGCGGTGCAGAAATTTACATATATGTGACAGATGTCCTGAAAGATCTGTCACAAATATGTAAGTTTGTTTGCAATGGCTTCTCGGACCGTGAGTTTCCGAAAGTCATTTTTGGAGTCCGACGGATTTAATCCAATTATGTAATGGGGGAAATTGCTGGAAATCGTCGCAGTGACGTTTTGGTCTTCCAAAAATGATGACATCGAAAATCTTGGTGCGACGTGATCCGAAGGGTTCCTTCATAGGCCGCGAAGCGGGCGACGGTCAACTTCTTCTTGAATCGCTATTTGTCAAAGGGCCATCGCGGATGGGATCTGTCGCTCACGCACATACGGTCTTGACGATTCATGGGCCTCGCCAGGCGCTGTCGTCGTGGAAGGCGCGTAAACCGAAGCCTCGTCTATTCAAGATTTCATCCGAGTGGAGGAGCTTGCCCTGCGATCGAAGGGTCTGAAGGAGGCCTGGAAATTGAATTTCATCGGGATGCAGGCATATGAGTCATGTGAAAGAATCGTGGCTATAAAGAAGGTGCAGTTTGAGTCTTGGACAGGAGTACAGGTGTGTGGTGTGCGCAAAGTTTCCAAATTAAATGTGACATCCAAAAACATCTTGGAGATGTCCCAGAAGTTTCTGGATGTCACTTCTGGGCACTTCTGGGACCCGAAACTCAGCCTGAGCCGCGACCCGAAAAGCTCGGGTAATGGCCTACCCGCACCCCAAACCAATATCCAATGAGCCCCCCCGCGCCCCAAGCCCGACCCTGACCCGGTCAAAACCCGGCTCACAGAAGCCCCCCAACCCCTATCCCAAAGGCCTAAAACCCGCGGGTAGCCGGGGATCCCCATGGATAACATTGGGGGTTTGAGGACTATGCCGCCCCCGCCCCCAAACCCTACGGGGCCCCCGACGTATTGGGGTGCCAAAAAGCCTGACTGAACCCGGACCCCAAGGGTTTGGGGCTTGGGGAACCCTTGGGGCGTCAGTTTTGGGGCTCAGGCTGACCTGAAACATGAGTTTTGAATACCCCTATCCTTATCTGTGTGTTAAGTGTTATTCACAGCAGATGGGAATAAGCAATGATTGTGTTACTTAGCCTTTGACCTGTCAATTCACATCACCACATTATTGATGGCTGAAATGCAACTCACACCACCAGAATCAACAGGTTCAAAACCTTCTTGAACAAATTTGTGGTGATTGCGTCCTTTGCCACTTGTTTGCAACACTGTGTAAGTTTTCTGGTAGCACATCAACATGCACACACCAAAAACAATTCATAGAGGGATGATGGATGCTTTGAAGAGGTCTTTGCATTCAAAGACCCATTCCCTTTGTCCAGGTGATCAGAAAGCAAGGTCAACAAAGGGGTGCTGAGATTGTCACTGAAATTCAACAAAAATACAGAGACCTTTCTTCATTTGTTTTTTCAAATCTCTTTGTGTGTGCACATTGACGTGCTACCGGGAATTGTACACAGTGCAATGTAATTGCTGAATATTTACCCTTGCCACACTAATGATCACACTGAATTCTCATTAAGATACCCAAGAAAGGCTCTCCTCATAGATCTTCCCCAACATCAGTGACATTTCCTCTTTGATATTTATTTGTTCTTTTCATCTCTCAGCTCCAAACAAGCTCAATCCAGGTGAGAAAATTTCCCATTTGGCAAGCTCTCATTCAATTCTGATTATAGCCTAGTTTGTTCTAGATTGCTTCTGAGGTATTTTGACCCAATCGGTTCTATTCAATTTGTATAAAACTTCTAGATCAATCACTTTCTTCTTTTTTGCATGGATCCTTTGACACTTTGATGGTTTCTGTACTTCTTAAGCAAATTTCTTCTTGATCTCTGTTCATCTCTGACTCAATCTATCTGGCTTGCAGCCCGCCAATAACTTTGATCATTTATCTGACCAATGATTCTTTGTTTTGCTCTCTCTCTCTTTATCATCTATATCAATTTTTGAAAATTCTACTATGCAATTGGTGTTAAACATATAAGGTAAGCTCCTTATTCATTGTGGATTGCTTCTGAATTGATTTGGACTAATTCTCACCCTTGATACTTGAACTGGTGGTGTACGTTTTTTTTCAATTTGTTTGCACTTGAGAAAATCAATTGTCCACCTGTTTTTCTGGTCAGACAAGCACTTCTATTGACACAGAAAGTGATGACTTATTTTGCAAAAGTGGTCAAATCATTTTGTTGGAAAACAGGTTTCATCTTACAAAGACATGATTCATTCTTGATTTCTTTGAGAGGACCCTGGAGGCACGACTTGGTCCTAAAGCCCAGGGGGACTTAGTGGAGCTAGGGGTAGCCCTGAGTGATTTGGGTCAGCGGCCTGCGCCTGATATAATTGTATTATTCTGGCACAAACTTTTTTTCCACAGACGAATCACTCCCACCCTGAAGCTCAAATTGATGACTGATCAATTTTCTTAGTCCCTAGAATTTCTTTTTAAATGCCCGACCCACCCACCCCAAACAAAACACATGAAACATGGTAACTCTTGAGTTTGAGTGAGGAATGAATTCTCCCCACCGACCCAGCGGCGGTCAGCTAATCACAACAGGTGTTGGTTCTTGTGAACCAACCTCACCAGGGATTTGTTTCAGACAAACCAAATCCCTTGGTTCTGAGAAACCAGAGTTTGGTTTTGACAATGTGGTAATCAATCTATGAGACCAATCAAAAAAATCAAATTTTGAATTACATCAATTATATTACATATATTTTATCTTTACATACTCAATTTATATGAACAAACTTAATAAGATAATTATAAACTATTAACAAACAGATTACAAAAAGAAAGAAAGAAAAAACATAAGAAAAACTCGAAAATATAGGTATACAGGTTGAGAAATGGGTTTTCAGGTAGTATTATTAGGTTTATGGGTTTAGTAGGGTTAGAATACGAAAGAGGAGCATTGTTTTAGTCAGCAAAAACTTTAATCTTGATGGTTGATAAGAGAAAATAGAAGTTATTAAGGAAATGGGAAAAAGTCGAAATTGGTAAGCAAGGGCTTACAGGTAGTTTTACATATGTAACAGTGGTATCAGTAATATATAAGGTTGCCAAGGGTGTTTTTAGGGATTTCCACGGTTGGATATTACTGTTTAATGTTACAGAAGGAAAGAAAGGCTTAGTAAAAGGTGTGAAAAGTGAAGAAAATAGGTGAAAATAGTCGAAAATGAAGGTTTTCAGCTGATTACATGTGTCAAATGACGTCAGAACATGATGAGTAATAGTTCATTCGACGCGGAATCATCAAATTCATAATGTACAATCTTTAAATCATTAGTTACAGAGGTGTATGACAAAAGTTATAAGGAATCAAAGGATTTGATTACACATCAACAAAATCACAAATCATCAATAACAAGCAATTACATCATTGAAATGCTGAATCATCATAAGATCCAATCAATATTCATTCTAAAACATTCAAAACACAGCATATACACAGCATATACACAGCATTTGATCATAAGAATAGAGATTGGTCATGTTTTACTGGTCAAATTAGTAATAAATCTTATCAGATGACGAATAGAAGACCACATTACATCATAGTAATGATCATAATGGGTTGATGAGGTACTGATGGCGAAATTTAGGAATGTAGAGAGTGGTTGAATCATTGGATCAAAGCTGTTTACCAGCATTTTAGTCATCTTTTGGTTTTTTAGATGGTAAAGAGGATTTTTTAAGAGCTGTTTACCACTTTAACAATTTGTATTGATGTGTTTATAAGCTTGTGTACTTTGTGCGAAATTATGTTTCATTTCTTCTTCATCTCTTACATAGCATTAATCATTTTTATCATTATAAACTTATTAGAGCAGTACTAGGTCACTCAAATCAGCCCTTCATTAGAGGAGAAATTTGTTTTATGTGCTTTATATGACACTGTCATTCTGGGATAATATCAAAAAGATATTGAGCTTATTTTTCAACATTTTGACTTGACTGGAATAACACTTTAAATGTGTTGAGCTTATTTGTCTGGTGCTTTTTATCAAGATACTTTTCTCTTATTATCAAAGACCTGGTTATATTTCTCTGTTATCAGGAGACTTTAACAACAAAGTCCAGTTTGTTAAAGATTCTCAGAAAGAGCAGTCTCAGACACCTTCTTTAGATCTATTATATCTTCAGATTATCCTCTTTCAAAGCACTGTATAGCCCTTGTTGTGCTATAAGTACTACAACAAACCAAGGGTTGTGATAGTTTGGTTCTTGCAGAGCAAACTCGGAGGCTGGCTGTGCCACTGCCCCAAACGAGCTACCCTGACCTCGAGAGGTAAGAGTAGCTCTAACTGGGGGGAAATTCCCACAGCTCAGTTGAGCTCGTCCAATTTCATGTATACAATAACCTCAGGGTGCAAGTAAGCGCAACTCACTGAGGACTGGGTAAACAAATACATGTATGATAT